TTAGTGTTGAATTACAGACCTCTGCGCTGAATATTGTGTTTACCAATAATCTAGATAAGCTTAAGACACACAGCATTTGCAATAATCGGAATGAAAAAAGGCTCTTTTTTATGAAACCAGATTAGTCTAAAACAATGCTTTGATTACCACTTAATACAGTTTGTGCTGTATCAATACAAGTAATGAGCATATATTCATTTGCATAGCATCCTGCAGAGTTTGTGCTCCAGACTGATTCCTCATACCACACAGTAGGCCATATTTCTATCGCCAACATTAAATGATAGCGAAACTATTGGGATTAAAATTTATGTAGGATAAAGGATATAGACTCTGATGTTGTAGAGTTAAAATAAGTACCAGATCTTTGATTGAAACTTATGTTACGCTTCAAATAAAGCTTTTATATACGTCACATTATGTACGTACCTGTACTACAGGTACATCACTGAATTATTCATTCAAGAGCTTCGTTCAAAACTCTACAAAACAAGCGACCACTATTCAGTAATTCAGTCATTTCAAACGATTTTTTACATAATGAATTCATTTAAATTAATAAATATTTTCAATACTCATTTATACAATTCTAGACATTTATAAATAGACAAAAATTTATACATTTTTGACATTAAAATAGAACATTTTGTCAGAACCTCAAGTTAATCACATACTGGTTTGTTTGGTTGTCTAGTGTTTCGTTCTCAGAATGGTGGACAACTGTGATCTCGATTCTTAGTAAAAAAAAAAAAAAAATTATCCATTATCCAGACTCATAAACTAAAAGAATATAGAGAAATATATAAAAAGCAGGTTTTTGCACATTACTATTGTCAATAAAAGTTTTATCTGCATCTCAGTTCAAACTCAGTGCTTTACTGACAAATTTCCAATAAAGAAACATGCAATATTATTTGTAACTGCACTTGTTAATGCAAAACATTAATAATTTTATGATTATACATATTCACACACACACACACACACAAGTCCATATTGCATTAAATATGCAGCCCTATGTCTGATTTATTCATCCAAAATGTGCTAAATATTATGTTTATAATTACACAATGAACTGACGTCCATGTTTTTGTTGAAATCATAGGGCCCTATATACCAGAGAACAGGTGAAAAATCCCACAGACACACATGAAGGAGGAACCCGAGTCACATCTACAGCAGAGACGCTAGGAGGAAGAACTCTTAATCGGGTCAGCACACAGCAACCCTTTCAATCGCCCCAAACTTCACCCCACCTCTGCTCACTCAAGTACTTATGTTCACAAACAAACACATTTATTCAGAGTTACACAAAGAGTCTTTCATGCATTCACATGTTTCCCCAATGCCTCTGTTGATGAAGCGGAGAAGAGGAACTGTGTAACTTTAAATCACTTTCATTATCCTGAGCATGTTTTCAGCAGGAGCTGCAAAGTGGCGTCCACACACCTGTGCTCAAGTAACACCAAGAGCTTCCCAGTTATTGACTCAAGAAAGCAAACCCCAGTGTGCACTGAAATGTGTGCAGCTGTCAGGATTCCTCCCGTCGGCATGGCTGACCAAACAGCGGCCTTAATGGATTATTGGGAAAGAAGCAATTTATAAAGAAAACGTCTAAAAAACAAGAGGAGGACTCAGCCAGCAAAGACAAAAACAGCCGTGTTCCAGCACTAAGAGCTGAGTATCTGTCCTGTAAGCACCTTATTTCTTACGGGTTACCAAAGGGATTTTTTAGTGACCTAACCGTTCCCATGCAGCCGTGACCTAACCGTTCCCATGCAGCCGTGACCTAACCGTTCCCATGCAGCCGTGACCTAACCTTTCCCATGCAACCGTGACCTAACCGTTCCCATGCAGCCGTGACCTAACCGTTCCCATGCAGCCGTGACCTAACCGTTCCCATGCAGCCGTGACCTAACCTTTCCCATGCAACCGTGACCTAACCGTTCCCATGCAGCCGTGACCTAACCGTTCCCATGCAGCCGTGACCTAACCTTTCCCATGCAACCGTGACCTAACCGTTCCCATGCAACCGTGACCTAACCGTTCCCATGCAGCCGTGACCTAACCGTTCCCATGCAGCCGTGACCTAACCTTTCCCATGCAACCGTGACCTAACCGTTCCCATGCAGCCGTGACCTAACCGTTCCCATGCAGCCGTGACCTAACCGTTCCCATGCAGCCGTGACCTAACCTTTCCCATGCAACCGTGACCTAACCGTTCCCATGCAACCGTGACCTAACCGTTCCCATGCAGCCGTGACCCAACCATTCCCATGCAGCCGTGACCTAACCGTTCCCATGCAGCCGTGACCTAACCGTTGCCATGCAGCCATGACCTAACCGTTCCCATGCAGCCGTGACCTAACCGTTCCCATGCAGCCGTGACCTAACCGTTCCCATGCAGCCGTAACCTAACCGTTCCCATGCAGCCGTAACCTAACCGTTCCCATGCAGCCGTGACCTAACCGTTGCCATGCAGCCGTGACCTAACCGTTCCCATGCAGCCGTGACCTAACCGTTCCCATGCAGCCGTGACCTAACCGTTCCCATGCAGCCGTGACCTAACCTTTCCCATGCAACCGTGACCTAACCGTTCCCATGCAGCCGTGACCTAACCGTTCCCATGCAGCCGTGACCCAACCATTCCCATGCAGCCGTGACCTAACCGTTCCCATGCAGCCGTGACCTAACCGTTGCCATGCAGCCGTGACCTAACCGTTCCCATGCAGCCGTGACCTAACCTTTCCCATGCAACCGTGACCTAACCGTTCCCATGCAGCCGTGACCTAACCGTTCCCATGCAGCCGTGACCTAACCGTTCCCATGCAGCCGTGACCTAACCTTTCCCATGCAACCGTGACCTAACCGTTCCCATGCAACCGTGACCTAACCGTTCCCATGCAGCCGTGACCCAACCATTCCCATGCAGCCGTGACCTAACCGTTCCCATGCAGCCGTGACCTAACCGTTGCCATGCAGCCATGACCTAACCGTTCCCATGCAGCCGTGACCTAACCGTTCCCATGCAGCCGTGACCTAACCGTTCCCATGCAGCCGTAACCTAACCGTTCCCATGCAGCCGTAACCTAACCGTTCCCATGCAGCCGTGACCTAACCGTTGCCATGCAGCCGTGACCTAACCGTTCCCATGCAGCCGTGACCTAACCGTTCCCATGCAGCCGTGACCTAACCGTTCCCATGCAGCCGTGACCTAACCTTTCCCATGCAACCGTGACCTAACCGTTCCCATGCAGCCGTGACCTAACCGTTCCCATGCAGCCGTGACCCAACCATTCCCATGCAGCCGTGACCTAACCGTTCCCATGCAGCCGTGACCTAACCGTTGCCATGCAGCCATGACCTAACCGTTCCCATGCAGCCGTGACCTAACCGTTCCCATGCAGCCGTGACCTAACCGTTCCCATGCAGCCGTAACCTAACCGTTCCCATGCAGCCGTAACCTAACCGTTCCCATGCAGCCGTGACCTAACCGTTCCCATGCAGCCGTGACCTAACCGTTCCCATGCAGCCGTGACCTAACCGTTCCCATGCAGCCGTGACCTAACCGTTCCCATGCAGCCGTGACCTAACCGTTCCCATGCAGCCGTGACCTAACCGTTGCCATGCAGCCGTGACCTAATCGTTCCCATGCAGCCGTAACCTAACCGTTCCCATGCAGCCGTGACCTAACCATTCCCATGCAGCCGTGACCTAACCGTTGCCATGCAGCCGTGACCTAACCATTCCCATGCAGCCGTGACCTAACCGTTCCCATGCAGCCGTGACCTAACCATTCCCATGCAGCCATGACCTAACCATTCCCATGCAGCCGTGACCTAACCGTTGCCATGCAGCCGTGACCTAACCATTCCCATGCAGCCGTGACCTAACCGTTCCCATGCAGCCGTGACCTAACCGTTCCCATGCAGCCATGACCTAACCATTCCCATGCAGCCGTGACCTAACCGTTCCCATGCAGCCGTGACCTAACCATTCCCATGCAGCCGTGACCTAACCGTTGCCATGCAGCCGTGACCTAACCATTCCCATGCAGCCGTGACCTAACCATTCCCATGCAGCCATGACCTAACCGTTCCCATGCAGCCGTGACCTAACCTTTCCCATGCAGCCGTGACCTAACCATTCCCATGCAGCCGTGACCTAACCGTTCCCATGCAGCCGTGACCTAACCGTTCCCATGCAGCCGTGACCTAACCGTTCCCATGCAGCCGTGACCTAACCGTTCCCATGCAGCCGTGACCTAACCGTTCCCATGCAGCCGTGACCTAACCGTTGCCATGCAGCCATGACCTAACCGTTCCCATGCAGCCGTGACCTAATCGTTCCCATGCAGCCGTGACCTAACCGTTGCCATGCAGCCATGACCTAACCGTTCCCATGCAGCCGTGACCTAATCGTTCCCATGCAGCCGTAACCTAACCGTTCCCATGCAGCCGTGACCTAACCATTCCCATGCAGCCGTGACCTAACCGTTCCCATGCAGCCGTGACCTAACCGTTCCCATGCAGCCGTGACCTAACCGTTCCCATGCAGCCGTGACCTAACCGTTCCCATGCAGCCGTAACCTAACCGTTCCCATGCAGCCGTGACCTAACCGTTCCCATGCAGCCGTAACCTAACCGTTCCCATGCAGCCGTGACCTAACCGTTCCCATGCAGCCGTGACCTAACCGTTCCCATACAGCCATGACATGACCTAATATTTGTGTTTAGTAGTCTATTCAGAATCGTGGGAGAATCGAGATCTGTATTTTAAAAATAAAACATTCCCAAACTGTCCCCAAAACAGTTGCAAACTCCCCAGAAGTGAAGGGCTAGGCTAGCTCCAAGAGCTGATACAAACACCTCCGAACTCTTTCCATTTGAAAAACAACTATTCTTAAAGTGAGATTTGCATGTTTTCTGAACAGACAGGATAGGCTGCACCAGTTAGCGTGACGCACAGATGTTGAGCAGTGAGCTTTGATTGGCTCTTACCTGAAACACAGCGTGTGCCAGTCAGTGTTGAGGGCCTGTAGATACTGATCATCATAGATGTGCCGACTGCATCCCGCACACTCCGGCAACCTCCCTCCGGCTGAACAACACAAACACAAACACATTCACTAACATCGTCCATAATGCCATAATGAAAAACAACCACAAGATGTTTGAAGAGAATATATCATTCTTTGTGAACACAGAAAGTGTTCATGATCCGGGCCGATGGGAGCGACTGCGTTCGTTAAACGATGCTGATTATATGGAAATGGTCAGATATCAAAGGATTGATTAGTTTGAACATCCGTCTCTCACTAATAAAAACGTGACTTGTTTATCTCTTCCACTAAGGGAAGTCAAAGGACGGTTTCCTCGCTCTGTTTATTATCACGGCTCAGGTGCTCCTGCCACTAACATCTACAGGCAAAGGTTTACTCATAGGAGAAGTCAAAGAAATCTGCATTTTAGGGCTATGTTAAGGACCTATATTATGCTTAATGTGTGTGTTTCTTTAGTGTGTAATGTTGCAGTTTAATAATGAAAAAGCGTCCTTCTCTACATCAATGCCAGTGTTTCTGAACTCCATTGTAGTCTTGAGCTTCTTCCGGCGAACACGCCACAATATTCCTCATTATAATAATCCATAAGCAAAAATAAAGGGGCGGGGCCTGGTGAGTTAGTTAGTGTTGTGTTGAAACTGGTGGTTATGGTAAGGGGCGGGACATTTCCCAAACACACTGACCAATCACAACACACCAGCAGACCAATCAAAGCGCAGTGTGATTTACAGAAGGAGGGGCTTCATCGAGACAGGAACTAAACAGAGCGTTACTGACAGACTGGGAAGAGAGGGGCTGCAACAATGAAGAATATGGAGAAATAATAATGCGTTTTTGAACATTCAAGCGTGAAACCTGTCCTAGTCGAGCTTAAAAACAACATCAAGACTTTGTAAAAAGTTATAAATTAATTTATAAATAAATCAGCTATATATTTATATTTAATATATATTTATTATATATAGCTGTATAAAATATATTTAAAGCTTATTTTCAAACAAACTCATTGTCTTCGACAACTCTACTTTTACATATAGCTAAAAAATATGCATTTATATCTTAACAAAGTAGTGATGTGTCAGTACAAAAAAATGACAGAAAATAGTGATTCAGGGCCAGAATTTCGGCGTGCGATTGCGCACTAGGACTGGGGATCGTTTGAATATTAACGATTCCTATTCTGATTCCTAATTTCGATTCCAATAAGGTAAAAAAATAAAAAAAACTAAGATATTCACACTTAGTCTTATTGCAAAACATTTAATTGTAGCTGAATAATAACACATGCGCGAGGAACGTTTGCCTGTGGTTTATAAATACCATAAAACAACTAGCCTAACTAATACACATTTCAAGAATTATTAAAGACAAGTAAACACTCAGGATTAAACAAATAGATGTACAACACAAAGATACGATTAAATACACAGTGCTTTAAGATTTTCAGGTAATCATGTGCAGAACCTGTAATCAGCACTTTATAATTAAAATATACATTACAAATATAGTTACAAAAGTTATTCAGTCAAGAGCGAGTGAATCTTCTCTTTGTCTTTAGTAGAGCCCGACCGATAAAGGATTTTGAAGGCCGATACCGATACAAATATTTGTTTGTTTTAAAATCCGATTTTACTATATATCGGCCGATATTTTTTTTTTTTTCAGAAACGCTCAACAAAACATTAACAGATTTCCCTAACATTAGTTATTTGTAGTTATTTATGAGTTTTAACTAAAATAATATGATAATGCATTTTAAAAAGAATCTTGTTACTTTTATTGTCACAACAGAACAGACTGATGATAGTGGCATTAGCTAGCTTTGTGGTTAGCTAGTCTATGATGAGCCATAATTTAGCAATGGATAACGTCATACTGCAAATTGTAAAACATTTTCAATATAACAGGCCAAGGAGAGATGATACGTCTCATTGCTATAACTGTCACGCGCTATTAAAGAAATACTTCAGTCACATTGTCAAAAGTTAAAAGGACAGTCAGTCAACTAAACTGTAACAACGTAACGTAACTATTACTAGCTAATTCCGCTTCACTCTCGGCTTATTTAACAGCAGCAAAACTGGACATGATAATCACAAATTTTGTCATGCTTATTTGAGTTAAGAGAACTTTAATTGTTATTCGAACAATGTCTCGTGCCCAACTCAACAAGTGTTGCCAACAGGGACGGTGTAGAGTGCCCTCTGGTGGACAAACTATACAACTCCAACACTCATGACATGGTTGAGGCGTGTTTCGTCCGTTTTTATTTTATTTTTGAAATATTCATTTATCGGCCATTATAACTGCCGATACCGATATTTTGGAAAATGCCAAATATCGGCCGATAATATCGGCCTGCCGATATATCGGTCTGGCTCTAGTCTTTAGTTGTTTGATTAGTGTTATTAAAGAGACATCTGCTGCTGTCACTTTAAGAGTTGCCCAATATAGTTAATTATGGAAACAGCATGCAAGTCTAGCGCCTGAATGGTTTAAAGTGATATTGAAGTGCTCACAAAGGAACTGATAAGAGGAATCAAAATTACAATTTTAAATCTCATCTTCATTGTTATTATTACGGTACACATTATAAATACATCCTGCAGCTGAGTGATGATCGGCAGCCCAGTGTGTGACAGACTGTGAAAACATTTAAAACACATGACCTCTCAGACTGACCAATCAATCGTTCATAAATTATTCATACTAAATACATCAACATAAAAACTCATTGTGTTTCCATTTTTACAAACGCAGGTGTCCGCAGACCAACCTCACTGACTAACGCGTACACTTTATTTTATTAGGGTAAGGTATTAGTGAGTATGCATAATATTAAGTTATTACTTTAGTAAGTACATGTACGATGTGTAACAGGAACACTATAAAATAAAATGTTATGGGAATTGCTCTATAATTTTGTTACTGGATGATCACATTTCCACAGCAACAGGATATGAAGTGGTGAATATCATGTGACCATTTCAGTGTAGTTCATTCACAGGGAACGTGATCAGATGTGAGAAAGCCTGTGAGGATTCCCTGACCAACTCTCGATTCTCCAGCACCTCTAATATTGAATATTGAAATATTAATATGATAGTTCAGCACAAGAAAGAGCTGGCGTTCAGGTCAGCTGATGTTACGGAGCTCTCTTTTTGTCAGTCTTTTTATCTTTGCTTACCGTTTTCCGGTTACCGGTGTTTGTATGTGTTGAGTGTGACAGACAGTGAGTTGACGACTTCCTTCATCAGTGACGGGCGTGAGGCGCCTGACAGACCAAACCTCATTCACTCCATCACACACACACTCACATGAGGACCAGATGCAGATGAATCATTTACCAGAATAACATTTATGCAAAATGTAGCTAAAAATACTGTTAATGTACTTCCATGAGACTTCGTAACAATGTAGTTTTAGATGTCCGCTTCGGAATAGCATGAAAATGAGTTTTGATTCTGAAGCAAATATTAAAGTACTGTAGTATTATCATGATCATGATGTGTTTACACAACTTTTTCATTAACTCTCACCTCATTTTACAAATAATAATCATTTTACAGAAATCACCAGATAGTTTTAAATGGGATTTCACTGACATCATTTTAGGTAGAAAAACAACATTTGAATAGTTATAGTTTTTAGTGTCCCTTCATTTAAGCACTCGACGGAGAGACGAATGATGTTTGTTCTACCTGTAAGTTAAATCTCAATACGTCACTGCAGGATTTATGTGCTAAAACCCAAAACATGATATTAATATCAAACATGATAATGGTATGTTTGTGTACCAATATCCACAAACCCATGTCTTGGCTCTTTATATTAAACAACTTCTGTAAGTAAGTGAAAAAGAAATGAACACGAGAGTGAGTGTGTGTGTTGCAGCTGCAGCAGAACAGTGCGGGAAAACCCTCACAGGAACGCAAGTGTGTGAGTGTTTTCTCGACGGTTTGTTCTAACACACACGTTGACGCGGACAGTTAGTGTCGGACTGAGTGGAATAGAGAGGCTGTTTGTTGTGCGCGTGCAGGCGAGGCAGCATCAGCACCCGCGCGAGCTCTGCTGAAGATGATGAAGAAGAAGATGCGCACTCTGTATTATCATGACACTAACCTTCGTCCTCTCCCATGCGTTCGTCCTTCCAGGTGCAACAGAGCAGCATCAACCTCATTCAAGCCTCGGACCGCAACAAAAACTCCCTCTGCGATCAGACTCACTGGAGAAATGTGGCCAGCTGCTGCCACTAACTAACACACACTACGGGAAAGGCGCGCGCCTCATGAATATTACAGACGCACGCGTATTAGCTGGAAGCTGTGCGTGAGTCCGCTGGCGCGTTGCGGGATGTTGACGACGAGCATGGGCGCTTCCCGAGTAACTTCACACACACATACAGAATACAGCCTTCGCCATAGTAGGATTCCGGTAGAACGGGCCAACTGAACACTATCCCTGGAAAATAATAGGAGTTGCCTGCGCATGCGCGGTCACAATCGCCCTGGAATGAGGTCATATCAAACTCTGATAAAATAACTTAAAATCATTTCAAGGATAATAATGACCATGGCTATTTTGTTTTATTATTACATGAAGCCTATAGGCTATATTAAAAATTAATCTTTTGTTTAGGTAACACTTTTTTTTTTAAAGTTTCTCTGTACATTGCATGCATAATCGTAAATTATTTTTAAAAAAGCAACTGACCCTAACACTAATTTTATATAGTAAGTACATGTTGTCAATTAAAATTACCCAGTACTTATTTGTATAATTACACTGTAATAAAGGCACTTTTAAATAAAGTGTAACCAATTTTTTATTTTATAATGTTATAACAAGACATCATTGGTTCATTCATACACTTCATGGAAAGAACACAGCAACTGTTTGTCTTTTTCATTTAATGTAATGTCATTCAACTATCTTAAAAAATTAAACTGTCTTAAAAAATGAGTGAGACAATCTTTTATAACTTAAAGTCCCCCCGTGGTCAATAACCGTATCATTTAACTCATCTCTGATCACCAAAATGACATATTTAAACTTTTTTCCTTCTTCATGCCTTAAAATATCTTGAATGTAACTCGACACCCTTGCCTTATTTAGTGTACGCGGTTCTATGAATATGCAAATGAGCCCCGCCTCCACTCACTCACTCAGCTCAGAGATCCACTGGTCGACGATCACACGTTGATCTGATTGGTTAAGGTAGTGTGTGACGTCAGAAACACCAGCGATTTCAAACCATATTTTGAGACTGTCTACCAGTAAAGGACTCTGCCATACCTTGGCATTCATATTTCTAAAAAATAAACATATAGTACGTGAACAATTGAATTTCATGCCCAAAATTAAAAAGACTAAAAATATTTTGAATAACTGGTTACAAAGGGATCTGACTTTGTTTGGGAGAGTTTTGCTTTCCAAAGCTGAGGGTCTTTCCAGATTTGTTTACCCAGCTCTCTCCCTTAGTGATAAAACTTCTAAAGTAATTAATAAAACCTTTCTCGATTTTATTTGGAAAAATAAACCTTGCAAGTTAAAAAAGGACATTATTTCCGGCAAAAAAATTGATGGTGGCTTAGAGATGTTAGATTTTTTTTTTTTATATTAACAATACCTTTAAACTTAATTGGTTAAGAAACTGTCAGAGGAATGAAAATTCACTATATGGTTCTTTATTCCTCAGTCCATCTTCAAAGAGCTTGGAGGCTTACCTTTTCTATTGAGATGTAACTATATCCCTGGGAAATTACCAATTTAACTATCCACATTTCACCAGCAAGTGTTATTGGCTTGGAAAATTGGTTTCCATCACAATTTTTCGCCTCACAAAATGCTCCTCTGGAACAATTGTCTTATTACCTCTAGGAAAAAAATCTTTATTTTTACACAAATGGTTTGAAAGAAATATATACTTTGTCATGGATTTGTTTGATGAAAATGGAAATGTTTTGTCTTATGAAGCATTTATGTTTACCTACGTACAATTTCCCCATTCCAGCGAAAGAGTTTCAGCTAGTTGTAAAAACAATTCCAGATGGGTTAAAACATTTAATGAAAAGTCACCTTACTTATGGAAGTAACGAAAGGAAACTTCCCGAGTCAATAATTGATGGTATCAAACTATTCTCTCATTCCTGTAATAATAAAAACATAAGATTCATTTTTCAATCCAAATTTTTTTGAATGCACTAATTGTTGATATTCATTGGAAAGAAGCATGGTTAAATCCATATAAATTTTGTATGCTGAATAAAGTTAAAGAGGTACATTTCAAAATACTTCATAAAATCTACCCATGTAAAGCTTTGTTATCCAAATTCATGGACATTGACAACAAATGTTCTTTTTGTAATGTGTACGAAGAAGACTTGGCTCATTTGTTTTATGAATGTGAATTATCTCAAAAATCTTGGTCTGATGTTAGTCATTTTCTTTTTGCCCCAAGAAAAATTAATTATAAATTATCTCTAAAAGATGTTATTTGTTCTTATACACACAGAAGCAAGTTGTGTGAATATGTGGTGAATTTCTTCATTTTGCATGGCAAATATTACAGTATATCCATAAACAAAAATTTGCAAAATGCATTCCAAAATGTAATCTATTTTTATTAGAGATTGAATCGCTGAGGAAGTCACTTAAATTAGTTAAAAATAAAAAGAATGAAATGTTGTTAAACTTTATGGAGGAATTCTTCGTATAGTAATTAATGCCCCTACTTAGTTTACCAAGTGTCTAGGAAAAGAAAGAAATATTGAGCTTTTTTATTTAATTTTTTATTTATTTATATTATATATTTATTTATTCAGTTACTATTTGTTTTGTTTTTTTGTTTGTTGTTGTTTTTTCTTCCTCTTCTTTGTTTTTATTATCCCTGGTTACTGTCACCGTTTGCCACTATATTTTTAAAACAATAATATCTTAGTAAATACCTTAAATAATATTGACAAACTATATATCATTTGAAAGCTTACAATCTCTAGTTTCCATATTTGGTGACTGATTTTCAAAATATATTACAGAGGAGCCATAATTTATCAATATAAAACAAGAATATTTTCATACTCATAAAGTGTGTTCAGACCTTTATTTTAAAATAGCAGTAAACATGAAAAATCATGAAAAAAAGGTAGATACCTCAGTTTGTTTTTTTATGCCAAAAGTTCAAAAGATAGAATCCATTCAATTATTTTGGGAAAAAAGGTCTGAAAAGTTTGAAGTATCAAGAAAAAAATAATAAATTCACCATTTGTGACGTGGCAGCTAGCTATGACTTACATGCGTGTTCTTTGTATGTGTTTCTTAGAGGTTCAATTCATATCAAAATCTGCCAAACTTCCCATGCTACTCCTGAATAGGATTTCTACTTCAGAAATTGTATGAAAATTGTGAAAATAATGGTTCATATCACTCAAAACACGAATGGAAATGCAGGCGCCCTTATATGGGCAGTAATGGAGTCTGATTGTGCCCTAGTGAAAAAGTTTGGTACTGCGCTCAAACAAAATCTTACTGAAAGCTCATTTTTTGAGATATCAACCTAAAATTTGAAACACAACTTGTTCAGATTTTTGGCTTTGATCTTTCTGCCATTTTAGAGTAGCCCAGGTTTTGAAAATATATATTTTATGTAAAAAATGAATAATTAATATTTTTACATTGTACATTTCCATAAACTCAAACTTCTATAACTTTTTTTCTGTTTCACTTTCTTAATTTATTTCACTTCTACAAAAATCTGCCAAATGTCTTCTTTAAAACAAGACCAATCATATGTCTATATTCCAAAGCATTCTTGAATTACAACCATTTAAGTTCGACATGTGCATTTTCATGTCTATTCAAAAAAGGGGGGGTGACAGTTAACAGGTTAAAGTCCCCGTGAAATCAAAATTGAACCTATTTACTTTGTTAGCGCATATTACTAGTCTTGTGGTGAACAATTAATCCGTGCAAGTAAAAATATATTAAAAAATGTTTTACCTTAGTAATCTTTAATCAAAATCTGAAAAGTTACTTCCGGTCTGGAACGGTTTCTTTTTCTGATGACGTAGGTTTCACAGTTTGGGTGGGGAAACGCTTAACCACTCCCCTCAAACCGTTAGTTTACTATGGGCGAGAGATGGAGAGGAGGAGCGCTAGAGTAAAACCCTGCCCTCTGTTCAATATTCCGTTTCACTTGGAAATACGTCACAGCACTGGAGAAAAATCGTTTGCAACTTCCGGTTCACGGGGACTTGCCATACATGTTTCAATATATTTGATATCTGTCAATATATGTGATTTCTGTCATGTGAAGCATTTCTGTTATATACTGTATTTTGTACTTGGATTTATTTCTCAATAAAAAAAAATAAATATATATATATATATATATATATATATTGAGACTGTCTTTGGTTCACTGCAGTTTTAAGGAGGAAATACTCGACTTATGAATTTACACATGGTTTGTCTTAAAGCATATTAAAAACACCACATAGATGCATAAACAACATTAAATGCTGGATTTCACGACAGCGGGACTTCAAAAAATGAAGTTGTATATTGCTTTATAAAATGGATACTTTCAGCTCTGGATTATATTGGCTGAGTCGCATTCGACACTGTTGTAAAACACTCTATAAACACACACCTGTGACCTCATCACATCAGTATTACTGTTGCTGTGTGTGTATGCAACATCGAAAAAAGAAAAAGAATTTATAATTTGACACAATTATACATACCAACAGACTCTTGTTTTTTTATTTAAAATATTTTATTTCATTTTTCACTAGAGCAGGTAAAAGGCCGGGATTTCCGGGAACTAGTCAGAATATAGGTTGTGGAAAAAGTGCAATAGCCCCGCCCCTTTATTTAAATAAGATGGAAATCCTACGGCACAATAGAGAAGACCTGGTAGGGCTCACAGGCAGGTCAAATACAGCACCAGGTATATTAATACATGATAAAGTGTCTCTCCGGATGGATCGAAAAACAGTATCAACCAAATATAGCAAAAATTGACACATTATATGTTTGATAATACATTGGCTAGTGAGGCTTTTGGGACGGACAAACACACACACACTTTGGGGGGATTTACGTACATAATAACCTACACACACACACACATACACTCACATCTTAAAATATCACACACAGTTTTGCAAGTTCCATAGTGACTACAATGCACAAGCTATTTAAAGCAAAAAAAAAAAAACAATGATTGTCATACGTGTACAAACTTGATAATTGGTCAACATGTCAAGTTCAAATGGTACAAAACAAACAACATAAGAAAAAATAACCGGTGTATAATGATCCAACCTACTGTAAGCGTATGATTTATGTATATTTTATATGTATATAATAAACTAACTCTATGTGAATACACAATGATTAAAGAAACACATTCTTGGTCAAACGATGGAAGCACCTGTAGGCCCCGGGTCCAGGGAAAAACATAAGCACATCTGTTAATCTTCCAGGTTTAAACATACATAATGTACATAATGATTACTATTTTACACGTTTACTTTTCAATTTGTTCCCTTCACCAGACAGATCCCAAAACAGATTTCCACAAGGTGATTAATATTAGACACAAGCCGCCGTTCACTTCTGCTCTTCATACTTCACACAGTGTGCAGGACTCGAGCCGCACGCGTGTCGCTCTCAGGGGTGTGTTCGACATCCGCGAGGCTCTCGTAGCATCCGCACGCATTTTATGGCCTACTTATAAAAACACATGGGTGGAGCGTCTCAAATCAAAAGACACGCAAATCATCGAGGGGTGAATCTCACAAAGAACATGTCAAGAACATGTCGAGAAATAATTACAAAACAACCCCTCAGAAGTAAAACGCATTTTTATATTCCTAATGTTCCAAAATGCTCCTAAAAATAGGATTTCTTTATGCAAAATATCCGAGGGCATTTACCCATAAAGGACTGTAATTGTAAGGCTCATCTGCACAGAAAGCCTAAAAAGGGTCAAAAATAACAAGCAAACTGCTAAGCTGAAGCACGGCCAGATGTGAAGTGTTTCAACCCAGAGTTTAATCAGCAGTATGACAGGACTATCACGGCAGGGACGTTAAAAAACCTCGTGCGGGCGAGATAGCCAAGAAATGCTCTTACTTTAAGAGTCTCGAGAGCTAGATCGTGAGCTTCCGGGGGTGTCTTGAAACCTTTACAGTTACACAGCACAAAAGCATTGGCAGCTAATGAACCCGGTTACATATGCAACCCTACAACCGGAAACAGTAACAAGATGGAATGTGCCATAAACAATCAGGACTGGAGTTAATGCCACAAAACACTAGGCGTTTTATGGACCTGGATTTGGATTCGTTACAAATATTTACTATCAAAACATAACACTTGTGCATGATGGGATCGTTTGTTTGAGTATCAAAAGTACATTCTAGAGCATGCAGTAGCACCATGTTTCTTGAGGTCACTTCACATCTCAAGAGATCGTTTACTTTCTCCTCCTCCCGCAGTATTTCCCTTGGCAGCCCGCTCCACCTGCAGAACAACACCACACGTCAAGAGTCAAAACCTCGGCGCACATCAAATACTACAAATTACTTCGTTTGGGTTCCGACACGGTGCGAGGATTTATAAACCCTCGAAACGTGAAACGACAAGACGCTTTGTGGCTAACACTTTACAATATGGTTCCATTTGTTGATTTCCAAGATCTATCAATCAACATTAATCATAAAGATTAACGTAACAAATGTATTTCTAAATTGTACCTTTGACACGATTTCCTCTGTTTTGTGTTTACAAACTATCATTTTGAGGTACAGTGTATTTGATGTTCCTACTGTCCTGCTGTTTCACTCCCTTTGTTTAGTTGCAGTTTTTCTTTTGGCGCTTTTCCACTGCTGGTACGGCTCGGCACGGCTCAGTACGGTTCGGCTCGCTTCACTTGTCCACTGCGCGGTACGACTCGGCACGGCTCAATGCGGTTCGGCGCGGCACGGGTCGGCTCGCTTCACTTTTCCACTGCTGGAACGGCTAGGCTCAGTACGGTTCGGTGCAACGGTTCGGCTCACTTTGCTTGTCCACTGCACGGTGTGACTCAGCACAGCTCAGCACGGTCCGGCGCGGCAAGGTTTGGCTCACTTCGCTTTTCCACTGCTGGTATGACTCGGCACGACTCAGTACGGTTCAGCGCGCAACGGTTCGGCTCACTTTGCTTGTCCACTGCGCGGTATGACTCGGCACAGCTCAGTACGGTTCGGCTCGCTTCACTTGTCCACTGCGCGGTACGTCTCGGCACGGCACAGTACGGTTCGGCGCGACACGGTTCGGCTCGCTTCGCTTTTCCACTGCTGGTACGACTCGGCACGGCTCAGTACGCTTCGTTGCGCTACGGTTCGGCTTTTCCACTGCTGGTACGGTTCGGGGCGGCACGGTTCGGCTCACTTCGCTTTTCCACTGCTGGTATGGCTCGGCACGGCTCAATACGGTTCGGCTCGCTTCACTTGTCCACTACGCGGTACGACTCGGCACGGCTCAGTACGGTTCAGTGCGCTACGGTTCGGGTTTTCCACTGCTGGTACGATTCGCGCGGCAAGGTTTGGCTCACTTCGCTTTTCCACTGCTGGTACGGCTCGGCACGGCTCAGTACGGTTCAGCGCGCTGCACTTCAGCTCGCTTCACTTTTCCACTGCTGGTACAGCACGGCACGGTTCGGCTCGCTTTGCTTTTTCACTGCTGGTACGACTCAGCACGGCTCAGTACGGTTCGTTAAGCTACGGTACGGCTTTTCCACTGCTGGTACGGCTTGGCATGGCTCAGTACGGTTCGACGCGCTGCGCTTCGGGTCGCTTCGCTTTTCCAGTGCACGGTACAACTCGGCTCAGCATGGGTCGGTTCGCTTTACCTCGGTTTGCTTTTCCACTGCAGTTAACATTATTTACTGTTAGTAACTGTATCATGTTACCGCTTCAAAGTGGGTGGAATTGTAGTCTGACCGTTATAGTTTATCCGCTCCCAGCTACAGCAGTGGCTGTGACTGGCTATTTAAATTTAGCGGGTTTGATGTCTCGCAAATACAATGATGCTGGTGGTGACGATTCTGTCTGTCTGACCAATCAGTGATCTGCAGTGTGTTCACGTCACATTTTGGTATCGGTACGGTACGCTTGGAACCTCAACAGAGGTGGTACCATTTAAAGCGAGCCGTACTGTGCCGTACCATGCAGTAGAAAAGCGCCACAAGTGAGCTGTACCGTGCCGAGTCGTACCGTACCGTACCATGCAGTGGAAAAGCACCACAAGTGAGCCGAAGCGAGCCGTACTGTCCCGTACCATGCAGTAGAAAAGCAGCATTTGTTTCCATAGATGCCTTGTTCATTTCCATAGTGATTGATTTCTCACATCTGTTTCTTGTTAGTCTCTTGTTACATCTGTTTTTCAGTTGTCCTTCCTCTTTACACATCCATATTGCTGTGAAGCTGTTGCGTTTCTGTTCTTATCTTTGGATTGTCATCTTCCTTACCTCTTTGGATTAGATCCTGGCTTCTCTTTGTCCCTGCCTAACCGTAACAACCTTATTGTAATGTGTTGCCAACATTTTGAATGGGACTTTTTATCCATCAGAAATCGGGATATTTCAAGTCTGAGTGGAGTCAGAACTGAATGTGAGTTTGGAATGATCTTCATCCTGCATCTCGACTTCTTTCTGACGTCAACCAATGTTCGCTGAATCCAAACTTTTGAAGAAGTAGGCCAGTGTTTGGTGTGATTTAGGATCAGAACGTTTAGTTGAGGACATCAGAAATGAGAGCAGTGATTATGAGAAATCAGTGATTATGTGGCGGCAGGGATTAAATCCGTCTCATCAGTCGACTGCAGACTCGGATCATTCTGACATACCTCGATAACCTCCTCCCAGGAATCCCGTCAGTCCACCTCCATATTTGGCTGCTTTGGCTGTGGAAAAAAAGTACAAGGTCATTTTATGCTGTGTTCCCCCACAAACATAAGCATCAAGACTGAAATTTAGCGGTAACATTAAAGCTCCTTTTCGCACATGATCTCTAAACTCCAATTTAATTATAATAACAAAAAAGCCCATATTTTCATTGTCTTTTAAAATACACTGACATCAAAGCTAGCGTGATAAGCTTTTAAACTGAATGTACAAAGCTCTTGTGTGAGTTCAGAAGGCTTGGAATATAGTGCATGAGTTGTATGGACCACTTGCTTTACTTTCAGTGTATGGGAATTGACAGATTGAAGATTCTAATGTATTCTATCTATATAGTTATAGAGACAATAACTATATAGATCATATACAAAGTTATACAGGGTGGTGATGGCGCAGTGGATAAGACACATGCCTTTGGTGTGAGAGACCCGGGTTCGAATCCACTGTGAGACACCAATGTGTCCCTGAGCAAGACACTTAACCCCTAGTTGCTCCAGAGGCATGGACCTCTGACATATATATCGATTGTACGTCGCTTTGGATAAAAGCGTCAGCTAAATGTAAGCGTAAATAGTTTAGAACGGGGTGTCAACCTGTTGTTGGCCTGCATAGTTCAGCTCCAACCCAATTAAACACACCTGAACCAGCAAATCAAAGGGTGTTGAGGCAAGCCAAAGCTGAACTCTGCAGGAGCAGGATTGGAAACCCCTGGTTTTGAGGTAAGGTCCAATAACTCATACAACTGTAACCTCATGTGCATGATTTGGGGGTTTGGAAGAGCTTGTACCTTGTTGTGGTGACAGTCCTGCTCCATATCCTCCTAAAACACAAGAAAACATTGCATTATTATGAGCCGTTCAAACCCCATGAGGGATTGAGTGTCATTGACTCTGAGTCTAAATGAAGAATAACGGTGTGGAATAGATGCACACAGGAACGGTGAGTCAGCCTTAAGAAGAGTGTCAGGATTACTGTTTGTTCCAGCTGGAGATTTATGACCAGCTGTGACCAAGAGCATCTGGACGGAAATAATAATAAACCCACCGAGCATCTCCACGTTGTGATTATATAATGACTAACGCTTAAAAGCGTGTCGTATGACGGCAGCTTGAGCGTGAGAGCTAGCAGGCCCTGAGATGGACTTTATGGTCAAAATGCAAATACGCTTTGCATGATATTTGCACTTCAACCCACACTTTTCATAGCAAGCAGATTTCAATGGGTCAATGTCTACATGCCCTTCCGCAATGAACAATGGCTCTTTTTAGTTTATTATCTGTCAGGATATACTTTTTAAGGTTACACTTTATTTTACACTACTAGCACTTACCCAAGAAAGCACTGTGGGTAATATAAGGCAACTACATGGGTTGGGTTAAGGGCTAGTAAAGTTATTACCCATTATTGTAATTACCAAGCACACGGTATGTACATGGTGAACCGGACTGTAAAATAAAGTGCTACCTTGTTTAATTTATGGGTTCAAGTATCAGGTACTGATATAAGTACTGGGACGTAAAGATAATGCCTAAATGTTACAAGCAAGCCTTTGTTTCTGCACTGTACTGTATGTCTCAGGTTCAATCAGGTGTCCAAGTACACTTTGACTACTAACATGATCAACTAACGTTTGGTGGGAACGGCATCTATCACATGTTTTATTTGGTAATAAAAAAATAAATACAAATGTCCAGATTAGAATTGAAATGTTTGAACTAGAAATAGTAAGTGAAATTAAATTCTTAAGTGACAACAAACTCAGTTGGAAATCCCACATAACTTACATAAAGTCAAAAATTGCAAAAACTCTGGCTATTCTGTCCAAAATAAAATTCATTCTTGATTCAAAGGCCTTAAAAATATTGTATCAGTGTCTAATAGTGCCATACATGACTTATTGCGTAGAGATTTGGGGAAATACATACAAAACAACAATAAAACCAATTCTTCTTTTACAAAAACGTGCAATACGACTAATAAATAAAACAGATTATTATCACCCAACAAACAAGCTATTTATAAATTCCAACCTACTAAAATTTTATGATTTAGTAGAATTTAAAATAGCCAAAATAATGTTTAAAATCATAAATAATAAGTGTCCGGAACCTGTTTCAAATGAAATCTACTCCTTATGAACTCAGAGGAACACTCATGTTCAATAAACCACAGATTAGAACAAATGTTAAACAGAGATGTCTGTCTGTTAAGGGGGTTAAAATGTGGAATAGTCTCGATGATGAACTGAAAACATGTAAATCTATAGGCAGCTTTAAGAAATTGTATATATATATATAAAAAGATTACATTATACAAAGCTGAATAAGTTTAGCTTTCCTTTCTTTTAGTTATTATTTTCGCAAAATGACTTACTGTACGGTACTGTGTGTTAAATAAATCAAATGTAAAAAGGATCGGCGCAATAAGCATAAGCTTCAGCCGACAACTTTCCGGTCAAGCATCTTTTTATTTCTTTATGTTTTTTATTGTTGTTTATATTGTATTTTCACTTTTGTTTCTATATTTGTTTGAAAATTTCTTTTTGAAGCTGACCGAAAGAAAAATTATGAATGAATGAATAAATGTCTGGGCTTTCTTTCTGTTACCCTTCAGCTTGCAATGTAGTGTATCCCATTCCTGTGTCAGAACAGCAGTGAATGTTCTCTATTATCACCAAAATAATTCTGGGTTAAAATTACTATGGTTATCATCAACAGAGCTGTGATTCAAAGACTGAACGGTTCACTATAGGTTCTGCTCCTGTCCTGTCTGATCCTGTGTTAAATACAGCACACTATTTAGTCGAATGGAGCTAAAGACAGCCGAGTTCTTTGATAAATGTGAACATAGTATGAATTTAGCCAGGGATTATCTCTATAAAAAGCTACCTGGATATGCTTGTGGATATCCTCCATATCCTCCTGGAACTGCACCACCTGTAGGAAGGAAAGATTCAAAGATTTAGTTCTTCAACTCAGTTTATCTAAGACACAGTGTTTATCAAAAGAGTGGGATAAATATAGATTAAGATTTTAATTTGTAATCGTTTACAAAGACTTTAGAATCTTTGCAAATGTAAACAAAGATTGAGATTTCATCTGAAACTGTAAGAGTATTTGGGTAATTTTCTCAGGAGAAACATCAGAGTTTTGTTGCGACTCTTCTCTACAGCAAGTATTCTGACAGATGGCTTTTGCCAGGTTTGCTGGATGCTGCGTCTTTGCATAATCAGAGAAGCAAATTTGATTTGGGAATATGTTCTGAAAGGATGGTGCTAGAAGGAACACAGTGACACCAAATCACACGAGGGCTCACAGGATTAATGCAGACAAATCCATGATCCCAGCCTCAGCCTGCAGTGTGTGTATGAGAGAGAGAGTGAATACAGAAGTGTGTGTGTGTATCTGTAATGAGAAGGACAGGAGGATTCTGGTGTCAAAAGAGAACCGACATGTCATAAGACCAGTTGGTACTGGAAAATCCTTGCTGGTGTTGTTAACAAAATAGCATGTAATTGGCAGTGTTGTGTAGTGATGGGGACAGGGCCGCCTTTGCCGAGTCCGAGTCAAGACCGAGTCTTTGAAGGGTCGAGTCCGAGTCGAGACCCGAGTCCATTGGTTTTCAAGTACAGTCGAGTCCGAGTCAAGACCGAGTCTTTGAAGGGTCGAGTCGAAGTCAAGACCGAGTCCATTGGTTTTCAAATACAGTCGAGTCTGAGTCAAAACCGAGTCTTTGAACGGTTGAGTCCAGGTCGAGACCGAGTCCATTGGTTTTCAAATACAGTCGAGTCCGAGTCAAGACAGAGTCTTTGAAGGGTCGAGTCCAAGTCGAGACCGAGTCTGTGAAGGCTCGAGTCCGAGTCGAGACCGAATCCATTGGTTTTCAAATACAGTCGAGTCCGAGTCAAGACAGAGTCTTTGAAGGGTCGAGTCCGAGTCGAAACCGAGTCCATTGGTTTTCAAATACAGTCGAGTCCGAGTCAAAACATAGTCTTTGAAGGGTCAAGTCCAAGTCGAGACCGAGTCCATTGGTTTTCAAATACAGTCGAGTCCGAGTCAAGAACGAGTCTTTGAAGGGTCGAGTCCAAGTCGAGACCGAGTCTGTGAAGGGTCGAGTCCGAGTCGAGACCGAATCCATTGGTTTTCAAATACAGTCGAGTCCGAGTCAAGACCGAGTCTTTGAAGGGTCGAGTCCGAGTCGAAACCGAGTCCATTGGTTTTCAAATACAGTCGAGTCCGAGTCAAGACCGAGTCTTTGAAGGGTCGAGTCCGAGTCGAGACCGAGTCCATTGGTTTTCAAATACAGTCGAGTCCGAGTCAAGACCGAGTCTTTGAAGGGTCGAGTCCAAGTCAAGACCGAGTCTTTGAAGGGTCGAGTCCAAGTCGAGACCGAGTCTGTGAAGGGTCGAGTCCGAGTCGAGACCGAATCCATTGGTTTTCAAATACAGTCGAGTCCGAGTCAAGACAGTCTTTGAAGGGTCGAGTCCGAGTCGAAACCGAGTCCATTGGTTTTCAAATACAGTCGAGTCCGAGTCAAGACCGAGTCTTTGAAGGGTCGAGTCCAAGTCAAGACCGAGTCTTTGAAGGGTCGAGTCCAAGTCGAGACCGAGTCTGTGAAGGGTCGAGTCCGAGTCGAGACCGAATCCATTGGTTTTTTTATATACAGTCGAGTCCGAGTCAAGACAGAGTCTTTGAAGGGTCGAGTCCAAGTCGAGACCGAGTCCATTGGTTTTCAAATACAGTCGAGTCCGAGTCAAGACCGAGTCTTTGAAGGGTCAAGTCCAAGTCGAGACCGAGTCCATCGGTTTTCAAATACAGTCGAGTCCAAGTCAAGACCGAGTCTTAGAAGGGTCGAGTCCAAGTCGAGACCGAGTCTGTGAAGGGTCGAGTCCGAGTCAAGACCGAATCCATTGGTTTTTAAATACAGTCGAGTCCGAGTCGAGACCGAGTCTTTGAAGGGTCGAGTCCGAGTCGAGACCGAGTCCGTTGGTTTTCAAATACAGTCGAGTCCAAGTCGAGACCGAGTCTGTGAAGGGTCGAGTCCGAGTCGAGACCGAGTCCATTGGTTTTCAAATACAGTCGAGTCAAGACCGAGTCTTAGAAGGGTCGAGTCCAAGTCGAGACCGAGTCTGTGAAGGGTTGAGTCCGAGTCAAGACCGAATCCATTGGTTTTCAAATACAGTCGAGTCCAAGTCGAGACCGAGTCTTTGAAGGATCGAGTCCGAGTCGAGACCGAGTCCGTTGGTTTTCAAATACAGTCGAGTCCAAGTCGAGACCGAGTCTGTGAAGGGTCGAGTCCAAGTCGAGTGAGTCCATTGGTTTTCAAATACAGTTGAGTCTGAGTCAAAACCGAGTCTTTGAAGGGTCGAGTCCGAGTCAAGACCGAGTCCATTGGTTTTCAAATACAGTCGAGTCCGAATCAAAACCGAGTCTTTGAAGGCTCTGACGGCAGTATCTTTGCATTGCACCAGGGGTTGTCATTTTCAAATAATGCCCGTCAACATTGCATTTTATTATTATTGTTGTTATGTGTTGTTTTTTTTTTTATATGAACAAAAAAAAACGTGCTGGAAAAAAAATCTCGAGGACTCGGTCCTTCTCCTCCTACTGTGGTCCGAAACCGAGTCAAGACTGAGTCTTCGAAGGGTTGAGACCGAGTTCCTTTGAAGGAACAAGTCGGCACGAGTCCGAGAAAGCAGAAATCGGTCTCCAGACCAGACTCGAGTACTACATCACTAGTGTGGTGCGTACGGGTCCACTTCAAGCACTATTTTTTGTTGATTGAAAATATAACTATTCTCCACAATCATTCTTTGTACCATTAATGGTTGCCTTACCTGGCTGTGCATATCCTGTACCCAAAGAGCCGTAGCCTGTTAATGGAATAACATGGTAAATATACTCAACACAATCTTAGCGCACACAATTTAGAGAATGAAAACAGTGAACATTCAGTATAACTTCCTTTTATCCTCTACAATTCCCCAGTGGAGAAAATGTGCAGTTAATTAATACATCTATAGCTATTGGGAATACATTTGTTCTTGGAAGAAAATCTCTTAAAATGAACTTGGCAATGGTTTTGCAATACACTGTGGCATTATGGTGTGGAGCCATGTTGTGGAACATGGATATGTTTGAGTATAGTTCATTTTGCTACTGTACCTGGTTTAGGGGGTTTAGCTCCAGTTCCAACACCACCAGCTCCCAATCCAACACCTGCTGGATACCCCCCACCTGCAACAAGATGATCTTAATGTCTAACAACAGTCCAATAACACAAATTGGCACTGGCATTGTTTGTCACATTACAGAATCAAGGCTGTACGTGTGGAGGACATCACAACTGATGTAATTACCAACATCATTCTTACACTTTCTGTCTGGTCTTCACATTACTAGGAAACAAATATACCATTGGTTTGCTACCAAAGCAGTCACTGCACTATTGTATTATATTGAGATACTGTTGATATACCGTTGAAATATTTTGGTACTGTGTAGTTTGCCGAATCTTAAAGTAAAATGTCACATTTGCTTTAATTTATTTAAATCTTGACAAAAAAAATCACAGGAGCTACACTCCTCTGCTTTGAGTCCTGCCTCACAAGTAGATCCTTTGTGGTATCTTGTAGGGAAGACTAAATTACATTGACTATCCATTGGGAATGGGGTACCTCAGGGTTCGATGCTTGGCCCCCTCCTATTCCTGATATACACAACATCCCAGAGACCTATTTTCCTACAGCGATGACATGCAGCTCATCTTATCGTCCCAGTCTGACAATCCTAGTGTGGCTGCACAGATCTAGGCTTACCTAGTAGACATTTCAGCCTGGATGAAAGAACACCATCTAGCAAAGACAGCATCACTTTAACACTACATGAATGAAAATGCCATGCAGGCCAGCCAGGACCTTGGGGATCATGCTTGACGACAGACCACATCTCAATAACTGCTCAATCATAGAGATTTGTGCACTACAACAGGGTCTTGTCGTCTCTCTTATGCTCCCCAGTAATTGATCCAGGATAGGGGGACAAACTCTTCCCTCTGACACCTTTGTGTAAGACATCATGTCCAACCCACATAGAAACATTGTGACGGCCCAGATCCGGCCCACATCTGGCACATGTTGAAGCTTCCTACTGTCACTAATTATCTGCACATCTTCTGTACAGAAGTCTATGGAGGGACCCTTCCAAAACCATTTGACTCGCAGCTGTTAATGCGTTTGGCATGCAAAGTGACTTACACTGAAAACATGCATTTTATAGGTTCACATATTCCCTTAGGGATCAGGTTTCAAGTCGTCATGCAACAGTGATCAGGTATCAAGTAATGTGGATTTGCATGACAGCTCACCTGCTCCAGCTATGAGTCCAGGAACACCTCCTGCCCCTCCAACACCTGGACCACACAAACACACACAGTGAGATTCATTTACATTTATGCATTCGGTAGACGCTTTTATCCAAAGCGACTTATATTGCATTTCAAGGAATACATTTACATCCTCATCAGGTCTTGCTTTTCTCTGGGAATCGAACCCATGACCTTGGCGAGCCAACGCTCTACTGTTTGAGCTACAGGAAAGCAACTATTCAGATTGGGGAACTCTTCTACACTTGCATGGACAGCATTTTCCAAATAAGGTTGAGGTCAAGATATTATTCCAAAATATAATATATTTACATGTGTACAGCAGATATTCCTCTATACGGCGATGAGCATTTTCTGATTAACAATTCATAAGATCCATAGTATTGGAATGTGAATGTAAACGTGTGCATGTATTCATTTAAAATCCCCCTGTGGTAAAAATCCAATATTTAATGTTGTTTACGTCTATGTGGTGTTTTTAATATGCTTTAAGACAAACCATGTGTAAGTTCATAAGTCGACAGCATTGCTGAGTATTTTCTGCTTAAAACTGCAGTGAACTCAAAAACACGGTTTGAAATCGCTGTAACCAATCAGATCAAAGTGTGATCGTCAACCAGTGGATCTCTGAGCTGAGTGAGTGAGTGGAGGCGGGGTTCATTTGCATATTCATAGAACCACATGAGGCAAGGGTGTCGAGTTACATTCAAGATATGTTAAGGCATAAAGAATTTTATTTTTTTCAAGGAAAAATCGCTTAAATATGCAATTTTGGAGATCAGAGATGAGTTTTAAGGGGTAAAATGATTGACCACAGGGGAACTTTTGGGGGATTGTGTTTACAATTAAAACTGGTAAACGTGTTGACCAAATGATTCAACACAGATCACTCAGGGTTATTGTTCCCTGAGTAATCTGCAGCAAAGATACTTAGAAACGTCAATCTTACCAGGGGCTTTCAGAGGTTTGGCTCCAGGTAACACACCGGTTCCGATTCCAGAAGGCCCAGTGCCGCCATAAAATGGGCCTAAAACAGCAGGAGGAAGAAACATTCAGCGTGACTTTGACTTTGGTAAGTCTTTAATTTGTTTTTGTCCTTAATGATCGACTAATAATATTTACCATAGCCATAGGGGTTAACCCCACCAGGAACCCCACCTGTGAACACAAAAGTGTACTTTACTTCTAGCCATGTTCGTGAATCTCCTGTTCGAACTCGTTCTTAAAAATGAACGAATCTTTTCCCGAGTCAATTCATTCATTTCGTTTGTTGATTTGTTCATTTTGATGAATGAGTTCGAGCAGGAGAGTCACAAAGAACAGAGCAAGGCGAGCATTAGAGCTTATAAAACTTAAACTTTGTTATTTATTTATTAAATGAGCGATCGTTTCGCTTGATAAGACCCTTATTCATCGTCTGGAATCGTTTGAACAGTTTGCACTGAAACTGTCTTTTGGACCTTGAACCGTTTGGTTCCCATTGAAGTCCATTATATGGAGAAAATCCTGGAATGTTTTTATCAAAAACCTTCATTTCTTTTCGACTGAAGAAAGAAAGACATGGACATCTTGGATGACATGGGGGTGAGTAAATTATCAGCAAAAGTTTTTTTTAAAAAAAAGTGAAATACTCCTTTAAATCTCATCACACTCACTTTCTTCTTGAAATCACAGGGATATTATGAGGTCAGTGATATTTCAGGTCACAAGTGGGTTTACACTGCCCTCTAGTGATACATACAAGAAATGCAAGTCATGACTCTCTCTCTCCTTTATTTTTGTGTTCACTCGATATCCACTCTCTCCCCTGCTCTCACTTTTCTCTTGATTCCTCCACTTTTGCTCAGTTTCTTTGCCAGTGTGTTATGTGCCTTCCACATTTCACACGTCTTTCTTCCAGAAAACCTGACGTAATTGTCCTGTGGATTATGTGTTCTGAACATTTTGTATTTTCCCTCACTGTAGAGACGGTACATGACTATACAACTTTGGGCAGTGACTTTTGTCTTCAATATGTGTCTGGGGGTTTGATAGGGAATGATACATTGCCTTTTAAAGAAGGCCGTCCCAACTGCTCTCACGGCTCAGGGTGACTAATGTATCTGAGGACATTGCGCTGTATATTGAGGAAGCCGCATGTACTCACCCGCACCACTAGGCCCTCTTTGCACACCACCTGAGTAACACAACAGGCCATGATTATAAGCTCATATACAGACCAGATATAAACACAAGCTACATTATAACAATCAATATAACCCCTATGTGTCCATCTGGGTCATCCTCAGGAAATTCAAGCCTGTTATGCTGCAATTTTTCACATCAATATTTAAAGTCATTTTAACAACATTGTTTTATCTTAAGTTTCTCTTTTCATCATGGTTACACTTATATTGGCATGGTCAGTCTTAACAGTGATCAGATAAAGTTGTTTTAATCACAAAGCACAAGAATGTCCTGAATGTAAATATAAAGGTGGGGTGAACATATTAGCTCAGGTCATTATTAACCTCTTCCACACTTTCCAATATTTTGGTAGTAACAGGGTTGGTACAAAACGTGTTTAAAAAGACAAATGTCACAGGTTATTATTATCTTCTATTATAATATGTGATTAAAAAGCACATTGTCAAATGGCACAGCATCCTGAGAATGACCCATCAGGAGTCTCATTATCAAACAAGTTTCATTTAGTGCACTGAAGACTTTGAACCAGGGTCCAAAATTAACATTTTGCCTCCCCTGCCACTGGAGGGTGAATTGAGAAGAATGATTGCCCATAAAAATCTCTTAATGAAACTGCATTTTGCAATAAAATGGGATCATTTAGCTGATTTCTCCTTGTATATTTGTGTCACTTGCAGTGTCATATTCAAGACGATGATTTTGTGTCACAAGTGTCACCACATGGAGTTCTAGAGAAAAAGAAAACTGATCCCAGAAAATGTGCAATGGTTATTTTCCCACTGCACTGTAAAAATGTATACGCTTTATCTAATCAATAAAATTGTGGCAACAGATTACAAGCAATATTATTAACTAGAATGTACATTTCCAGAAGAAAATGTGAAGTGGTGCTTGCAGTGGCAAAACTCACCACCCGGTTGCTCGAGTGTGGTACATGATTGCATACGAGACACCAAACACGTCTGTACAATGTTTTGTGATGAGATATGGCTTATTCAGCTGAGACATGGCTTTTTCATGTGTTCAGGTGGTTACTAGGGTACTCTATATGGTTGCTATGGTATGCTTATACAGTGTATGAGATTATATTTAATGACTAGTTGACAGTCTAAGTAAAAAAAGGCAAAATCCATGTTTCTTCTATTTTTTGGAGCCGAGATATGGCTTGAACATGTTGTTTTATAGTTGCTAGGCTGGCCTAAGTGGTTGCTAGGGCGTGAATATGAAGTTAATATGTCACTACTTGTTAGCTGCATGATAGGCTGAGTCAAAAGAGCCCAACCCTAAGTCTCTATGACCTTCTGGTAAAAAGATATGATATAACAAATCTTGTGCTAATGTTAAGTCTATGGGAATTTTTTCGTCTGATTTATCGCCCGCCAGACGAACATCGTACACCCGATCGCTTAGAAAAGTCATAGCACACCTGTCCTAAATAAGCCGGTCGATTTGACACCTCATTCATGGGTCTACGACAAAAAATACAAATTAGAATTGAGTAATAATTAATCCAATTAATTAAGTTAACCATTTAAAATGAGTAAAGTTTGCACCCAAAATATGTAACTAAAATATCTCACTAACAGACAGACGTCAAAGATTAATTAAGAAGTATTTATATTTTATTGCCAACATTGAAGACACCTGATGTTAACAAGCAGAATCACTGAAGGAGAAAACTGTAATTTTAAAACAATCCTAAAACAAACACTGATCACCATAATGGTGACTTCAATGCACGTTTTTTTTTGCTTGTTCGTTGTTGTTGTAAGTTTTTCCTCATTTTAAATGGTTAACTTTTAAGGAATTGATTTGATTAATTATTACTCAATTCTAATTTGTTACATTTAATAATATTGCTTATAATCTGTTGCCACAATTTTTTTGATTAGATAAAGCGTATTCGTTTTTACAGTGTGGGGTCGCTAATGACAGATAGTTTTGTCTCTGATGTGAATTAGATTTAAACCATTTACAATGTTGCAGTTCCTAATAAAGTCTCTCTGCAACTGCAGAAGCCAATTTTTGCTCGCATCGAGTTAATTTTGGTCCCTGCTCAGAACATGTTCTTTCTTAATACTAAGTGTGCGTGTTGTGTTTCGAAGACACAAAACATCACTTGACCATATCCTGCTACAGGTACAGATTGTGAGTAACACATCAGAGAAAACGCAAGCGCAGATAGCAGCGAGGTTAGGAAGGCGAAAGAGAAATAAAACAGGCGCTAAACGCTAATGAAGTTCCGCTACATTTAGACGAGACATTTGCACATGCAACACAGTAGATCTTACTGAGCTCAGGGGCCTTGCCAGTGGCTACAATAGCTGTCGGTCCTGCCAAGAAACAACATGTTCCACCTTCAACCCTTGCGGTTCAAAGACAGGCAGCATAGAGGTGACTAGCTTAGAGGACGCAGAGGTGGAGGTGATGAAAGAAACCAGCTATCAATTACTATGGTTATCGTCATTCGTAGGGCTCAGACAGGGGGAAGAGGGAAGTACCAGCAAGCTGACAGATGTTTATACAAGTGATCAGTTAACACATACAGTAATAGTCACCATGTAGTGTGAATACTTTGTGATAGTGATATATTTCTGTCCTGAATTCTCTCAATGTTGAGATTCTCCCCAAACACAAGCAGGTTTCAAAGTGCAAGTTCTTGAAAACAGTCTCCAAACGCGAATCTCTGAAGATGATGACGTCATGGCCATGCGTATTACGTGTTCATTCATCGCCAACTAATGGCCTGGCACAGAATATAGCGTCTTTAGTCGTTTTAGCGGATCCGTGTGAATGGGATCGTTTTGAAAACTCAAGGAAAAACTTCTCAGTTCTATATAGTATATGGGTAGTATGAATGAAATTCAGATGTACTATATCCGCCATTTTGTCATGTGACCTTTGGTTTGGTTTGCATCGCTTCAGTCCTCTCCTGTGGCCTAATAGAATAATTAAGTGTCTTTTCGCCTACTATGCATTTACTCGGCTCACATCCTGTTCTTCATTGTAGGAGACGATGCTGAATTTAGAACCTATAGTACACATACTACTTTTAGGTTATTATGAGTAGTATGCGGTTCTGAATTCAGCAAGATCCACTATAATACACACAGGTGATTGAGACACAGGTAAAGTCAATAACACTAATTACAAGTGGGCATGAGGACCTTTAGAGGCTGAAAAAGCAACACAACAAAACCAAGTACTGACACAGCTCTGAATATGCCACAATAATGGGGAAAACGCAAGAAGTCTCTCATTCAAGTAATGGTTCTGCAAACAGTTGTACAGACAAATACTAGTAATTTATTGTAGTCCTTTAAAAAATATGTATAATTTCATGGACTTGTTCTTAAAGGAACTCTCCACCATTATTTGAAATAGGGCTTATTCACAGTGTCCCCTACATCAAAATAGTTTGCAAAAACATTTTTTTCAAAGTGCATGCATTGTCTTTGTTTGGAAGCGCCGATGCTAGCTTAGCTTAGCATAATGAATGGAATCCTATATTGCCAAGTAGCATGTCGTGAGTAAGTGTTTAAAAAAACAAAACCTACACAGCAAAATCCCCAGTGTTAAAATAACTCTCCAAAGTGTTTATATGAGTCCACACTCAGAGAGTGTTAAATGAACACTGAAGCAGTGCTAAAGTTAATGAGAAAATTAAGTGAATAATTGAGTGATGATTGAGCATTATTGAAGACACCTGATGTTAACAAGCAGAATCACTGAAGGAGAAAATCGTAATTGGCATGTTACCATTATTGAGATCAGTGTCTGCTTTAGTTGGTCTCTTGACCCTTAAATCATTAACTTTAGATTTTGTTTGGCTGCTGTATGTGACTTATAACAGCCAGATGAACAAATAGAAAGGGTGATTTGATAGTGGCGATTGTGTGTTAACCTTATCATTATTTCACAATCATTTCACCTGAATACAGCCTGATTTTTAAGTTACATTTACTTTATTGATTATACCAGCACTGTCCTTGAAAATCATAATATTTGCAGCTTTTACAATGTAAACCAAATAATTTCTCAAAACTTAATCACATACAAAACTGTTTTTTTAAAAACAGACATCAAGAATCAGACTGTTTATCTCGACAATGGTGACAATTTTAAAGCATTTTGCAGCATATTATGGATGCCACCAATCAAAACTCATTCATGGCTCCCATCATGCATTGCTGCATGAATAAATAATGAGCTTATGTTCAGAGGTCATCTGTTTGTCACCACTGTTGAGATTAATACGCTAATTATTGATGTCTGTATGTGCCTACCTGGAATATTTTTAGGAAGGGTTTTTTTATATATGGATTTGATCATTTGGATTTAATTGAAATCGCTAATAAAAATGCATCCTCTACAACAACAGTGCTGCTATAATCCATAAGGTAAGTTTAACTCTAAATTATGCTCTCAATGAGTTCAATGATTCAGAACAAGCATTGATTATGTTAAAACACAATCAACACCAACAGATCACATTTCTATTTGTTCATCTGGCTGTTATAAGTCACATACAGCAGCCAGACAAAAATCTAAAGTTAATGATTTAAGGGTCAAGAGACCAACTGAAGCAAACACTGATCTCCATAATGGTAACATATCAATTCTGGTTTTCTCCTTCAGTGATTCTGCTTGTTAACATCAGGTGTCTTCAATAATGCTCAATCATCACTCAATTATGCACTTAATTATCTCATTAACTTTAACTCCGCTTCAGTGTTCATTTAACACTCTCTGAGTGTGCACTCATATAAACACTTTGGAGTGTTATTTTAACACTGGGGATTTTGCTGTGTAATTACTTGTGGCCTGTGTATTCACAATGAATACTAATATCATTTCAAATTAAGACTAGGCGATTAAATAGGCAGATATTGACTTGGGACTTCGTCTACACAACAACGATATGCTTAACGTTAATTTCAAACCAAATGTTGTACCTTTCTAGACAGCATATGATTTGTGACACAGCTCTAGTTTCTTTGTTTGGTGTTTAGTTGTCCTGAAGACACCTGCCTGTGTAAGTCTTCACAATCTCCCCAGTAATAAGTCACATTTTCAGACTCACGCTGTCGACCTGAGTTCAAGTCTCAGCTCTGACAAGCTTCCTCTCAATTGTCTCTCTCCTCTATCTCTCTCCAACACACAACTGATTGGTCAAATGCCAGTCTGACTGTCTCTCCCTGTCCTGTCGGCAATTCTTGGCCACAATGAAAATATAAAGAAGGGCAGACTTTATGCTATGACCTTTGACATTTTTATACTATAGTCGATTAATGACAACAGAAGAACAAATGTCACTGAGAGGACATAGAGGTCACCCATTTTGTACTCACCAGGTAGATCTGTCCCTGAGGGCGTCAGGGTTGGAAGCTTTGCTGTGGAATGAACACATATTTACTGTAACTCAAGCTTGATATAGTTTGTGCTTCATGGCATTTGTTTGAGTAAGGCTATTTTTCGTACCTGGTTTTCCACTTGGTGCAACGGGCACCCCAGTGCCACCCGGTGCGACCACCACGTCACCACCAGGTGTTGCACCAGGACCTGCTATACCAGTTCCAGTGATCCCAGCACCTAACACACATTCGGAAGAAACCAACAGGTGCTATATTATATGTTCCATTTCCTTTATTAAAATGCATAACAAAAGACAGGTGAACACAGGTATGTGAAGCTATAAAGCTATAAACTACCATACCAGTTTTAGGAGGTTTGACTCCACTAGGATATCCTGTAAAAAATGAAATGAGTATAATAAATAAATTATTATCTCACACTGACAGTGACCTGTTCATGAGTCAGTTGAACCGTTACCTCCTGGTGTCAATCCTGTCCCAGGCAGTGGTGCTCCTGCACCGGGTACCGTTCCTGCACCTCCCGCGACTCCTGCGGGCAAACCATTCAAATCAGTGCCAACGAGTGTGTACTAACATCTCTTTCAAAAATGGTATTTATTTGTTTTTGTGCAAACAAATATTAAGCAAAAAAAAAAAAAGAATACCTTTAAAATGTATTTAGATAAAGGTACAACATGTTAATGTCTCTCACCGTATTTTGGAGGTTTAGCTCCTGCTGGGTATCCTGTAATGGCATGAATTCAATTTATAGAACTAATCTTTAAGATGACAATTTATGATATACACTCACCTAAAGGATTATTGGGAACACCTGTTCAATTTCTCATTAATGCAATTATCTAATCAACCAATCACACGGCAGTTGCTTCAATGCATTTAGGGGTGTGGTCCTGATCAAGACAATCTCCTGAACTCCAAACTGAATGTCAGAATGGGAAAGAAAGGTGATTTCAGCAATTTTGAGCGTGGCATGGTTGTTGGTGTCTGAGTATTTCACAATCTGCTCAGTTACTGGGATTTTCACGCACAACCATTTCTAGGGTTTACAGAGAATGGTGTGAAAAGGGAGAAACATCCAGTATGCGGCAGTCCTGTGGGCGAAAATGCCTCAGAGGAGAATGGGCCGACTGATTCAAGCTGATAGAAGAGCAACTTTGACTGAAATAACCACTCGTTACAACCGAGGTATGCAGCAAAGCATTTGTGAAGCTGCAACACACACAACCTTGAGGCGGATGGGCTACAACAGCAGAAGACCCCACCGGGTACAACTCATCTCCACTACAAATAGGAAAAAGAGGCTACAATTTGCAAGAGCTCACCAAAATTGGACAGTTGAAGACTGTAAAAATGTTGCCTGGTCTGATGAGAAACCGAATGAGAACATGGAACATCATGCCTTGTTCCCACTGTGCAGGCTGGTGGTGGTGGTGTAATGGTGTGAAGGATGTTTTCTTGGCACACTTTAGGCCCCTTAGTGCCAATTGGGCATCGTTTTAATGCCACGGCCTTCCTGAGCATTGTTTCTGACCACGTCCATCCCTTTATGGCCGCCATGTCCCCATCCTCTGATGGCTACTTCCAGCAGGATTATGCACCATGTCACAAAGCTGGAATCATTTCAAATTGGTTTCTTGAACATGTCAATGAGTTGACTGTACTAAAATGGCCCCAACAGTCACCAGATCTCAACCCAATAGAGCATCTTTGGGATGTGGTGGAACGGGAGCTTCGTGCCCTGGATGTGCATCCCACAAATCTCCATCAACTGCAAGATGCTATCCTATCAATATGGGCCAACATTTCTAAAGAATGCTTTCAGCACCTTGTTGAATCAATGAGACGTAGAATTAAGGTGAAAGGGGGTCAAACACTGTATTAGTATGGTGTTCCTAATAATCCTTTAGGTGGGTGTAAAATGCTTGCCTAATTATTCTGAGAATTCAGTTTAATTTAAACCTTTAAAAGACAAGCAAAAGTTAGCAGTAATCTTTAAGCAATAAATGTCTTGATTAAATGGTCAGCAGTCATTGAAAAAAAATAAAAATGAGGTACACCTCCAGGTACACCGCCAGGTACTCCACCAGGTACACCACCAGGTACTCCACCTGGGACACCTCCCGGAACACCACCAGGTACTCCACCGGGTACTCCACCAGGAACACCACCGGGAACACCTACACATTCAATTGTCATTAAAATTGTGATGAAACTGAAGTAGCTACAGATCTTTTCCTCCATACTGTGATGTATAACTGAGTGTAACATTATCAAAAGAGATTTTTTTATGGCACATAAAACTGAAGGCAGATGAGTGAGTTTTAAGATAACCAAATTAGAAAAGTCCTGCATACGTCAGAAAGACGTTTTCACTGGAAGATCCAGTTATGACTGTGGTTTTCAATCCTGGTCCTGGGGACCCACAGCTCTGCACATTCTGTCACATCTTTTATCTGACACACTCAGATCACCTAATGAGCTGATGATCTGAATCAAGTGTGTTCAATCAGGAAGACAAAATATGCAGAGCAGTGGGTCCTCAGGACCGGTTTTGCGTTATTACATTTTGATTAAAAAAGTATATAAAAAAATAAAACATATAAACCAACAAACCATTCACGATAAGATCTACAACATGCATTTAACAAACTGAGAATTTTCATTTCATGCTGACTTTATTAAACATTGATTTCAGTTTAGGAGGGAAAACATCTTGCAGAGTTTAGCTCCAACCCAATCAAACACCTGAACTAGCGAATTAAGGTGGATTTCTAGAAACAACCAGCAGGTGAGTTGGAGCAGGGTTTGGACCAAATACTGCAGGAAGGTGACCCACCAGGAACAGGATTGGGCACCTCTGGTCTAGAGATTATCTAATGCAGGGGTTTCCAAACTCACTCCTGGAGGGCCACTGTCGTGCAGAGTTTAGCTCCAACCCCAATTAAAACCCAAGTAAGACACAGGCTGAATCTGAAATCACCCCCTATTCACTATTCCCTAAGTTAGTCCCCTGATACCGTTCACTTGAAGGAGTGAATGGAAAGGAGTGAGCAAATTCAGACAGCCGTTGAGCGTACATCGGTTGTACACTCGTTTTTGCAGTGCAATGTGGGATTGAGTAAGTGCACTTAATATCCACTGTGACGCCACTACAAAGGCCTGTCCCCTTAAATAACACACTATTTGAGGGTATGGGGGGCGATTGATTAGCTGGTTCAGGTGTGTTCAGTTGGGATTAGAGCTAAACTCTGCAGGACAATGACCTTCCAGGAACGAGTTTGGAGACCCCTGATCTAATGTGGTGAAATTTCTGTTTGTGTTTAAAAATTAAAACCATTTACCGTATTTAGGTGGTTTTGCCCCGGTTCCATATCCTGAGAAAATATTGAATCTATGTTTACATTGCTGTACAATTAAGAAAATATTTCCTAATTTTGTAGCATAATGGGTAATGACTTAACCTTTGCAGTGTTTCTCAGATAAGGTTACAGTCATTAGCAATCAATTCTCAGCATAACACAATTCATAACCACCTAGTACACCACACAATGCAACTCGCCTAGTACACCACACAAATGCAACTGTGGCCCTCCTCTTTTCTCTCCTGTCACAGAGGCTTCCAAATATATCTCCTACCACCTGCCCCTTCGCCCCATCTTCAACAATCAACAATGTAATTTTCCTTTAGTAGAATATCCTCCTAGACAACAATTCTTTAGGCAGACATTCAAGGAATAATGTATTGCTATTTATTACCCTGTGGTTGGTGGGGATGGGGAATCATCCACTTCATTCTGCTGGACCAGTCTAAGTCAGGTAACAGTCAGTCAACTACTGGGAACCTCAGAGTTCGATTCTTGTCCCTCTCTACTTCTTCATATACACCAGCTCTGGCACCTATCATCCAGGCAGATGGATTTTCCCTCCACTGTTATGCTGATGTCAAGCAGCTCTGTTTCTAATCCTAGTATGATAATCACACAATGGCTGCATCTTAACTTGCCTGAGCCTGGATGCAACAAAACCGCCTCCAACTCAGCCTAGTGAAGACTGAGCTCCTTTCCTTGCCACTCCGGCCGGTCTAATTCAACACAGCATCATCACTGATCTAGGCTCATTGACAATATAAGATCAGACCCTTTCTGTCTGAACTCCTTGTCCAAACTCTTGTCATCTCTAGACTGAAGAATGCTCTTTTAAGTGGCCTTACAGCTTGCTCAATAAATCCACTGTAAACAATACAGATTGCAGTGTCACATTTGGTTTTCAATGAACCCAACAATCAGACTGCATGTTACACCAAGGTGTCAGCTTCAAGACTATGATGCTTAGCTACTAGTTTAGAACTCGGCGTGTACTACGACACATCACGTTGTTTTCTCACTGGGATGAAAATTGTAGTGTACTTTATTGGCTGAATATTTGAAAATGTAATAATTTCACCTCCAGTGGGATATCCAGTTCCTGTTCCAACTCCACCCAAGACTCCCCCAGCTCCGCCCAAACCTAATGACAGAACAAATGCAATTAGACTAAGGCTATGTTTACACGGAAACGATTCTGAAGAGAAAACGCAAATGTGGCGTTGCGTTATCATTATTCTGCGTTTAGACGAGCATTTTAGGTGAGAAATCCGCGTGCATATGATGACGCAAAAGTGCGTGAAATTCAATGTAGTATGCACTCCAGGCGGCTAGGTGGCGATGTGGAGCACTGCCACACAACAACACCAAGTCCACGCGCCTGCGTACAACCTTCACTGTCAAGCAGACTTTTGCGTTTTTACCCTTTAGATGGGAACGCGGCGGTGGAGCGTTTTTAAGATTTCCACTCTAGAGAGTGGTTTCACTTTTTGCATTTTTAAGCCCCAAAAACGCCATCGCGGTGTAAACGAGTCGCCTGGTTCAACCAGATTCTAGTACATTTCATTTGTACATAGAGTCTGGCTTCTCTCCATTGAGAAACATTTACTTCCTTGTAGGCGGGTTCACTATTAAAGTTCAAAACTATTGGATCTGCCCAAAGTCACTCACGATCTGCCATAACCAATCGCTAACGTGTGGTCGTGAGTGACGTATGTCATGCGCCGAAACGGCTGGAACACAAGTCCGAATGATCAGAGGATTATGTTTACAATAGGATTTCAGTCAACGAGCGCCACAGGTTTTGTTAATCTAGGAACAATTATTAATTCAAAATGTATATTTGACACGAAGGACAGTGATATATTCATTCAACGGTTAGCTGTGTCTAATCATTACAAATTCGCCGCTGTGGTCGTTTCCTGATCTGCTGCAAATGCTGTAGCAGCTACAGTGAATGATCAGTCTCGTCTCTATCTGCAGATGTGTAATAAACAACAATTTTTCATATTACGTCTTATTGTTTCTTAATTACCTTAATTATGGTCTTCAAAGTATGTGTTTGTACATTTTTATATGGCATTTTTTTTATTAAAACAAATTAACCATTGCCATCTAAAACTGAAAATCTTTCTCCGCTGCCATTACTGAACTCAAACTGATGCGCTACATCAACGTCATCGTTCTCAGCCACTCCCTCTATTCGCTGATTGGTCCTACAAAAAATTGATTTCTGGAAACCTAAGGATATGCAGCAATCCCAGACGTAGTACTGAAGGAAAATGAAATTGAGCGGAAGTGCGTAGGCGGGCGCAGCCAGGCTAGTAAACGAAAGGCACATCCAATAAAATATATTTTCGTTTTCACCCGAGAGCGTTCTCATGTAAACAGGACCTTTAGGGAGGTAATACTGCCATGGCTGTAACAGTTTTTAACTAGCAAATAAAAAAAAATAGGTATCGCTAAAATCTTAGCAAACCAAATTTTTATAAACCATAATAAAAAATAGAACATTTCCAAATTTCAAGGCTCTGTAACTGCTCTTTATGTCTTTCCATCAACACATTCTTACTTGTAACCCCCTTGTAACCCCCCATTAACACATTCTTACTTGTTACTTGTAACCCCCCCCCCCCCCAATGTAATTCATATTCTATGTGCCCATTACAAGTCACAAACGTGCCACACAACTAAACAAAGTGCACCTGTGTAGTTTAGAGGTATGAGCTTTTATCAGTGTGGCAAGCAGGGTGGGGCCGAGAGCTGTGGAAACGGAGCGATGCCGGTGGTGGTGACCAGTTTTGAGTCACATGAATGATCTCCAGAAGGATAAAAGGAGGTGAAAGGTGAGAGAGGACTAAGCCTGGACTTTGTGTTGTATTAGTTTATACGGCAGTCATCTGTGAGGGGCTACCACTTCACTTCACTTTGTTTATATTTATTTGTGATTAAAGTTATGTTGAACATTTGCGGGTTCCATCCGAGTCTGCCTCCATGGAAACTCGATGGGATGGAGTGACTTGCCAGGTGGACAGCAGCAACTTCATCCCTCCCCCCCCAACAAGTCACTCCAGCCTATCGCCTCAAGCGTCCACACTGCCACAAAAAGGTCCACAATTTACTACACCTGAGAATAATATCCAGGGGCTGTTCTTAACTTACTTAGGGGTCTGGCCCCAGCTCCAGTCTCATACTCCATAAAACAAAAGTGGAGCCAAATCCTTTCACAGCAGCAAGCTTAATTTGAGGGAAGCCATGTAGTATTAATGAGACAAGCATGCTCAGTCATGTTTCCAATTAATTGAGCATGAGCTTTATTTTCAAACATCCAAATCCAAATCTGTTTCAAGGAACATGGTTACAGTACAAAAAAAATGGATTTATGCGTTCAAAGCCTAAAGTAATTTAACAAGCTATTTATTTTGGTGTTGAACAGACTCTTCAGATGTTAAATAGATGGGTTTTTTGTATATAGCTAGGCAAGCTTGAATACAACGTAAACCAGAACAAGTAAAATTACTGAAGAAATCATATATAATTTCTCTAAATGAAAACTTTGTTGTTCACCTCAATTCAAACTCGGTAACTTGATTTGTCATTTGTTTTAATATCCTTGTTTACTCACAATGTAAACAGCTGTTATATTAATTGCCTAATATTACCTGGTCTCTGAAGCCCAGGGACAAATCCAGTCCCTCCTGGTAGACCACCACCACCACCCAAACCTAGATGAAGAATTTTGATTTAGAGGAAACAATGCAATGTTCCTAGTCTCTGGTGTATATTTAAATACTAAGCTAATATAAATACCATATTTAAGAGCTTTGGCACCAGCAGGGTATCCTTAAACACACAAATATAAACAGATGAGCATTAAAATGTAATTCTGTAATGTAATGTAACACTGCTGTCTGTTGCTTCAGCAAAAAAAAAAAAAAAAAAGATTATGTCTAACATGTCAGCTAATTCAGTTTTTCCATCATGCTTTCCAGAATAAAGCATTGATACCTCCAGCTCCGGTTATTGGTACTCCTCCAGGTACTCCTCCTGGGACTCCTCCTGGTACTCCTCCTGGTACTCCTCCTGGTACTCCTCCAGGTACTCCTCCTGGGACTCCTCCGGGGACTCCGAAACCTGTTCCTCCTGATACTCCTAAGGCCACAACAGCATTATCTTTAACTAAGCAATACTCTACTGGCAGTACTGTATGTATCTACGGGGTAGTAATTTAAATAGTTCATATTATAATATCTCTACAATAATTGTCTATTACAAACAACATTCCAGCACAAATATATGGCACAATAAAAAGTGCCAACTATTTTTCTCATACAGAGCATTGCCAATGCACTCTAGACAGTGTCTAAGAAAAGAGTCAATCAACCTCATACCGTATTTAGGAGGTTTGACGCCAGCTCCTAGCCCTGAAAACATTGATGATCACTGTTATGAAATATTAACCAGAAATAAACTACATCGAGAAACAAAATGAGCTTAAGTTGTGAGAAATTGAGACAAATCAACATATACTGCACCTCCAGCCCCAGGCACAGCTCCAGGTCCTCCGATCCCAGCAACAGAACCGTAGCCTGGGAAAACACCAGCCCCTCCTGCTGCTCCTCCTACAGACAAGTCACGGGCAGCCAATCAGTGTCATTTTGCACACATAATGTCTGGTAAAAGTAGCACTTTTTACTGCTTAGCACCAACTATCCCAGGTGCTTGTGATGTGAACAGATTCATTTTTGGACTTTTTGGAAATTATACTTTGTTTATCATTCTCTCTTAAATATATCATGGCAAACCATGATACTCTGATGTACAGTGAAACATACTGATGTGTAGTAACGAAGTAGAACTACTTAAGTACTAAAATGCTGTATCTGTACTCTACTAGAGTATTGTTTCTTTCTCATACTTCTACTTTTACCTCAGTAGATATTTTCGATGAATTTAATACTTTTACTTTGATATTTTTTTTTAATGTTCTGCAAGTTACTCGTTACCATTTGTAAAAAAAATTACGAATCATTTGTTGCAAGTTGGCTTTCATGCTGCCTAAATCACACGCCAGTTTTATAGGGTAATGGTTTTGATTGACACACACATTGTTAACTAATGCAGGGGTTTTCCTGCAATGACATTTTTTTGGCGGCCGCCAAATTAAATTTGTATCCAGCCAAAGCGCCTTATTTGATTGCTAGTTCAAACTTTTGACTGCTTTCTTTAATACTTACATGACATAATACTTGTACTTTTACTTTTAGTACTTAAGTAGTGAATTTTTAAATAAACTACTTGCAATGCTTAAGTACAAAAAATGTTAAATACTTTAGTACTTCTACTTAAGTGTGCTGCTTAAAGAGCACTTCAACTTCTACTCAAGTCACTTTTTTGATAGAGCACTTGTACTTTTACTCAAGTCCGGGTTTCTAGTACTTTATACATCTCTGAACATACTACTTAATGATTACTATCTTAGTGTACCAGGATATTTACTTGACACTTAAAGGTTCTTCATAGAACAGTGGCAAGATCCAGGTACTACTAAGTTCAAAGATCCCTAGCAGCCCATTGAGGCAAGTTCTTGCTGTTATCCTTGCTTCAACTAAAACCTGTACTGTACATACAATCTCTGAATTAAACCATGCACCGATAAATTGTAATTAATACGTTTCTTACCATATTTAGGAGGCTTCACTCCACCTGGATACACTAAAATAAAAGGAATTGGTAACGTAATTTCAATTTAATGTTAATAATTTACAATTATTAACATAGTTAACCTTCATATTTTTTATTATAATTTATAATAAAATTACTTATATTTTTTATTATTAGCAGCATTTTTACCTCACAACATGAATTTTGGCTTTTGTCAGATGCAATATTAGTCTGATGTAAAACTCACCTCCAGCCCCTGTTCCAGGAACTGCTCCAGCTCCCCCTGCTACTCCACCAATTGGTACACCACCTGCACCTACGAAAAAAGACACAAGTTGTTTGAGATCATCTTTTTTCAAATGTCTTAATATTTGTAAAATATTTTAATAAAATATGCAGTGAACCACTTGGCCACAAAAAATGGCTCTGAGACTCTCAATCCAATGGCAATCCAAGCTAATATTGAATCCAATAACACCCATTTGAGATTTGATGAGAAGGAGCAATTTACAGATGGGCTCGTGGATATTTTGTTAACCAAGTGCCTCAAAAAGCTAATTAGTTTCAATTGTTTGTTCCCCCTCACCTCCCGCTCCAGGGTACAGTCCTCCAAAACCAGGAACACCACCAGCTCCACCTGCCCCACCTAAACCTAGGAGATCAGAGAAGAATACATTATAAGATGCTTTGGATATCTGGCCTTAGACTGAATCATTCAAATCAATCTTACCGTATTTAGCTGCTTTGGCTTGAGCGGGCGTCAGACCTTGTAAAGAAAGCAGAAATAAATGTTTTGAGACTCTTTGTCCATTGTAATGCAATATACGAGAAAAATGTTAGAGATATGAACATTATGCACATAACTGGCCATGCCCAAATTAAATGGACTAGAGATACCAATTGTCCAACCTCGAGGGTTCGGGACATGGTGGAGGATTTCACTGAGCCCAACCCTCAGCCAAGTCCTCATTTCCTGACTCAAGCTCATGTTGTTAGGATTGACATCTGTTACGATTGATCTGATCAGCAGGGGGAGCCCTGAATAAAACGACTGGCCGGTCATGAGAGGGGCCAGCGTGCTCAGCTGGAAACTCCACGGGTTGGGGGTTTGAGAGGAGTGAGGGGCGCACAGGGATTGGGTACTGGGCAAGGAAGCCCTCACTGTGGTCCCCAAGTCATTCAGGCTAATCGTCGAAGTAGCCCTCTTTTGGGGTTGGCCAAAAGAAACACTAGATCAAGGCATAGGTAAGGGGACCCCACCTCGTTTGATTAATAGGAGTCTTTACCGTAACACCGCGATGGTCACCTCAAGACATGAATTTTTAGGTTTCCTCAGATGCAATATTAGTATGATGTAAAACTCACCTCCAGCCCCTGTTCCAGGAACTGCTCCTGCTCCCCCTGCTACTCCACCAATTGGTACACCACCTGCACCTATGAAAATAAGAAGTTGTTTGAGATCATCTTTTTTTTAAAGTCTTAATATTTGTAAAATATTTTAATAAAATAAGCAGTAAACCACTTTAAGAAATGCCACTGAGCCTCTAAAATACATCCAGTAACTTTTGATATCGCGGGCAATCCAAGATAGTGGCCAAACTAACTGTGGCACAAATTTTAAAGCTAATATTGAATCCAATAATAGCCATTTGAGATTTGTTGAGAAGGAACAATTTACAGATGGGCTCGTGGATATTTTGTTGACCAAGTGCCCTTTAAAAAGCTAATTAGTTTCAATTGTTTGTTCCCCCTCACCTCCTGCTCCAGGGTACAGTACTCCAAAACCAGGCCCACCACCAGCTCCACCTGCCCCACCCAAACCTAGGAGATCAGAGAAGAATACATTATAAGATGCTTTGGATATCTGGCCTTAGACTGAATCATTAAAATCAATCTTACCGTATTTAGCTGCTTTGGCTTGAGTGGGCGTCAGACCTTGTAAAGAAAGCAGAAATAAATGTTTTGAGACTCTACGATCATTGTAATGGAATATATGTGAAAAATGTTATAGATATGAACATTATGGACAAAATTGGCCATGTCCCAAATTAAACGGACTAGAGATACCAATCGTCCAACCTCAATGGTTCGGGACACGGTGGAGGATTCCACCGAGCCCAACCATTTCGGCAACCCAGGCAAGTTCAACCATCAACTCTGGATCAGGCTTGGCAACACAACTCTCCCAGGAGGAGGAAACGCAGCCGAGTCCTCATCTCCAGACTCAAGCTCACTCTCTGATGCTACGATTGACATCTGGTCAGCAGGGGGAGCCCTGAATAAAACGACTGGCCGGTCATGAGAGGGGCCAGCGTGCTCAGCTGGAAACTCCACGGCTTGGGGGTTTGAGAGGAGTGAGGGGCCCACAGGGATTGGGTACTGGGCGGGAAAACCCTCACTGTGGTCCTCAAGTCGTTCAGGCTATTCATCGAAGTAGCCCTCTTTTGGGGTTGGCCAAAAGAAACAATAGATCGAGGTATAGGTAAGGGGACCCCACCACGTTTGATGTATAGGAGTCTCGACCGTAACACCGCGATGGTCAGTTTTACCTCACAACATGAATTTTTAGGTTTCCTCAGATGCAATATTAGTATGATGTAAAACTCACCTCCAGCCCCTGTTCCAGGAACTGCTCCAGCTCCCCCTGCTACTCCACCAATTGGTACACCACCTGCACCTACGAAAACAAGAAGTTGTTTGACATCATCTTTTTATAAAAAAAAGTCTTAATATTTGTAAAATATTTTAATAAAATAAGCAGTGAACAACTTTAAAAAAATGCCCCTGAGACTCTAAAACACATCCAGTAACTTTGAGTGGCTTGATCTCCGGCGCTAGTCTGTCGTTGTCTATTGCAGGAGTAGTTTTTATTTATTATTTTAATCAAAATCCAAGACCGTGGCCAAACTGTGGCACACATTTTAATTGAACTGATGAAATGCCAATAACTGCCATCAGAGATTTGACGACAAAGCAGGATTTACAGTTGTGCTCGTGGATTTTTTGTTTCCCAAGTGCCTTAAAAGGGTAATTAGTTTCAATTGTTTGTTCCCCCTCACCTCCCGCTCCAGGGTACAGTCCTCCAAAACCAGGCCCACCACCAGCTCCACCTGCCCCACCCAAACCTAGGAGATCAGAGAAGAATACATTATAAGATGCTTTGGATATCTGGCCTTAGACTAAATCATGCGAATCTATCTTACCGTATTTAGCTGCTTTGGCTTGAGCGGGTGTCAGACCTTGTAAAGAAAGCAAAAATAAACGTATTGGGACTCTACGATCATTGTAATGGAAGATATGTGAAAATGTTATAGATATAGACATTATGGACAAAACTGTCCATTTCTCAAATTAAATGGACAAGAGAAACCAATCGTCCAACCTCGAGGGTTCGGGACATGGTGGAGGATTCCACCGAGCCCAACCCTTTCGGCGACCCGGGCAAGTTTAGCCATCAACTCTGGATCAGGCTTGGCAACACAACTCTCCCAGGAGGAGGATGCGGAGCCAAGTCCTCATCTCCAGACTCAAGCTCACTCTCTGATGCTACGATTGACATCTGGTCAGCAGGGGGAGCCCTGAATAAAACGACTGGCCGGTCATGAGAGGGGCCAGCGTGCTCAGCTGGAAACTCCACGGGTTGGGAGTTTGAGAGGAGTGAGGGGCCCACAGGGATTGGGTAATGGGCGGGAAAACCCTCACGGTGGTCCTCAAGACATTCAGGCTATTCGTTGAAGTAGCCCTCTATTGGGGTTGGCCAAAAGAAACAATAGATCGAGGTATGGGTAAGGGGACCCCACCTTGTTTGATATATAACGCTGCAATGGTCCTATTCCAGAAATCGGAACATGAGTCATCCACAAACGCTGCTTTAGTGTGCTGAATGCCCAGACACGTGATGTAGTTTTTGTGGCCCTCAGTCACACCTGTGTTACTCTCTCAGGAAATAGCTTTTCTAAGGTGCCGAAGCACACAGGAGAAATGGCCATGGCAAACACTGGCAAGGCAAGGTGTAGCCTGTACTGCGAAGCACCACTCTGAGCACCCTCTAACCAACCAACAATCAAAGATTGAAAGCGCTAAAAGCTCACGACAACCACTGTTTCGCAATGTCACACCGACACCAGATGTGAGGCTTCTTCCAGAAGAGGTCAACAAACTCGCTCGTTGCAAACCAACACTCTTCAGAGACACACAGAACTGTTTGGCTCCGAAGCGAAAGGCAAATGGTACGTACATCAGCTTCCTATTTATACACGAGCTGCGCGGTAGAACGCAAGATGCAAATCTCGCATTTAAGATGCAAATCTCTGTTAACACTCGAATATGATTGGCTCCCTGGTGTGATCCCAATAAGTCTGTGACGTCGACGTAGCGTTGAACGTGACCGACTGAAAGGGAACTATAGTTGTTTGTAATACTTCTCTTACCATATTTAGGAGGCTTCGCTCCACCTGGATACACTAAAACAAAAGGAATTGTTAAAGTAATTTCTACAGCTATTAATATAGTTTACCTTAATTTCTTTAGATTAACACATTTTTACCTCACGACATGACTTAGGTTTCGTCAGATGCAATATTAGCTTGATGTAAAACATCGGTTCCCAACAGGGGGGGTCGCAGCCCACAAGGGGGCCTCAGCGAGCTCTGTTGGGAGTCGCGTCATTTCAAGTCGTGTCAAAATTTAAGAAGTTTTGAGCAATGAGCATTAAATCAAATTTCTTAACTTTATTTTGTTCAAAATTTATATAACGAGTGAGTTCATTATGAATCCATCAATCCGTGTTTTTGTCTTATCCTGAACCACTATGGTACATTGGGACTATTTTACACTGGTTCGGATGACTGCCGCTGCGGAGTAGCCCAGTACCTGCGTGACTCGTCATCAGAGATGTGTAGTAACGAAGTAGAACTACTTAAGTACTGTACTTAAGTACTAAAATGCTGTATCTGTACTCTACTAGAGTATTTTTTTTTCTCATACTTTTACTTTTACTTCAGTAGATATTTTCGATGAATTTAATACTTTTACTTCGATATTTTTTTTAAAGTTCTGCTAGTTGCTCGTTACAATTATAAAAATTTTACGAATCATTCGTTGCAAGTTGGCTTTCGTGCTGCCTAAATCACACGGCAGTTTTATAGGGTAATGGTATTGATTGACACACACATTGTCAACTAATGCAGGGGTTTTCCTGCAATGACATTTTTTTGGCGGCCGCCAAAGCAAATTTGCGTATTTGATTGCTAGTTCAAACTTTTGACTGCAAGTTTATTATCGCTCGCTAAAGCACCAAAAACGTAAAAAAAAAATTTGTTTTTGCATTTCAAATAAAGCCAATATATAAGCTTCTCCTAGGCTTACGTTTTTAAATTAAAACAAAGAGCCTACTGATGTTTTTGTTATATTTTCAATATTATAGGCTATTATTTGTGCATAAACATCTGGTTATAGTAAACATACCATTTGTTTGAAAACAACATATTTTGTCATCCTTGCTGCAAGCTTACAAGAGCGTTAATATCATTAAATGTGAATGGGGGGTCCTAAAATATTTTCTTTGGAAAAAGGGGGTCTCAGACAAAAAAACACTGATGTAAAACTCACCTCCAGCCCCTGGTGCTGTTCCAGGAACTGCTCCAGCTCCCCCTGCTACTCCACCAATTGGTACACCACCTGCACCTACGAAAACAAGAAGTTGTTTGAGATCATTTTTTTTAAAAGTCTTAATTGTAAAATATTTTAATAAAATAAGCAGTGAACAACTTTAAGAAATGACACTGAGACTCTAAAACACTTTTGAGTGGCTTGATCTCAGGTGCTAGTCTGTCGTTGTCATTTGCATTTATTATTATATTTTTAATCAAAATCCAAGATCATGGCCAAACTAACTTTGGCACAAATATAACTGCCATCTGAGATTTGACAACAAAGCAGGATTTACAGTTGTACTCGTGTAACCCCTCCATCCGGGTCCAACTCGACCTGCCCCGAGCGGGCCTCGAACCCGGGTCTCCGGCATGAGAGTCGGGCGCTCTAACAAGGAGGCTAAAGACTGCAGCATCTAGCGTCTGTTGCTAGAGCGCCTATTGAGATCGGGTAGTGAGGTTTACTTGCACAGCAACTACTAGCTGGCCTCCCCCTAAACCTCACTCTCATCCGGGTCACGGCACCAATGTAACCCCTCCACCCGGGTCCAACTCGACCTGCTCCGAGCGGGCCTCGAACCCAGAGAGTCGGGTGCTCTAACAAGGAGGCTAAAGACTGCATCTGTCGCTAGAGCGCCTATTGAGATCAGAGGAGTGATCCTACTAGCTGGCCTCCGTTACACTCGTGGATATTTTGTTAACCAAGTGCCTCAAAAAGCTAATTAGTTTCAATTGTTTGTTCCAACTCACCTCCTGCTCCAGGGTACAGTCCTCCAAAACCAGGCCCACCACCAGCTCCACCTGCCCCACCTAAACCTAGGAGATCAGAGAAGAATACATTATAAGATGCTTTGGATATCTGGCCTTAGACTAAATCATTCAAATCAATCTTACCGTATTTAGCTGCTTTGGCTTGAGCGGGCGTCAGACCTTGTAAAGAAAGCAGAAATAAATGTATTGAGACTGTTACGATCATTGTAATGGAAGATATGTGGAAAAGGTGGGGAAGAGGTTAGGAATAGTATTAGGATAAGGGCAATGTTTATTTGACAGGAAAATAGTTCTAGGACTGATAAAAATGTGAACTTGGAGGCAGACTGCAAAGATTGAGAATGTCATTTGGGAAAGGGCTGTTACTGATGACAACTACAGCCACAAGGCCCTGGTACTTCACTTATTTTATGATCTTCTGGATATATATTACACAGACAGACTTTTACCTCCTGTTGCAGGGTAGACCCCTCCGGCTCCTGGCACAATCCCAGCACCACCAGGAACTGCTCCTGCACCTGGAGCAAGGCAGAACCCATTATCACTCCGTTTGACATTGCCAATGCTCTACGAGGACCGCTGTCCTGCAGAGTTTAGTTCTAACCATGAACTTTTGCTTGTACTTTCCTGGGAACCATAAAGTCACTGAGTGGCTTGTTTGGGTGTGTTTGATTTGGTTTGGAATCAAAAAACCCTGGTATAGCTGGAAAAAACCCTGGGGTTGTTTTTCTTCTTCTTTCGTATCAGTGCAAAAGAGACGCAAATAACACATTTGATTTTTGTCATACAGACAAGTCTTATACATAATTTAAAACTGATAAATGTCTACTTTTATTTGTGTACATTTCTAATAAAAACAAAATGTCGAACTTTTCGTGAAATAAAGAAAATAAACATGCGCATGTTTTTCTAAAAATGCGACAGAAAATGAACCGTAACTCAGTGAATACTTGCCACACAGAAAAGCTCTTTAGAAAGCTTGAAGTGTCTACAATTTTAAAGGTTGGTTATTCATGATCATTTATGACCTCCTCACAAACAGCTTTCTACGGAGCCCCTCTAGTCCCACTTTGGTCAAAAAAATTAATTATAACTATCTTGTGGCCTCAAGATAGTAACTCGTGGCCTCAAGATAGTAACTCGTGGCCTCAAGATAGTAACTCGTGGCCTCAAGATAGTAACTCGTGGCCTCAAGATACTAACTCGTGGCCTCAAGATACTAACTCGTGGCCTCAAGATAGTAACTCGTGGCCTCAAGATAGTAACTCGTGGCCTCAAGATACTAACTCGTGGCCACAAGATACTAACTCGTGGCCACAAGATATTAACTCGTGGCCTCAAGATACTAACTCGTGGCCTCAAGATAGTAACTCGTGGCCTCAAGATACTAACTCGTGGCCTCAAGATAGTAACTCGTGGCCACGAGTTACTATCTCGTGGCCACAGGGTTACTATCTCGTGGCCACGAGTTACTATCTTGAGGCCACGAGTTACTATCTCGAGGCCACGAGTTACTATCTCGAGGCCACGAGTTACTATCTTGAGGCCACGAGTTAGTATCTCGAGGCCACGAGTTACTATCTAGTGGCCAAGAGTTACTATCTTGAGGCCACGAGTTACTATCTAGTGGCCAAGAGTTACTATCTTGAGGCCACGAGTTACTATCTTGAGGCCACAAGATAGTTATAATTAATTTTTTTTACCAAAGTGGGACTAGAGGGGCTCCGTAGCTTTCTTACACAAAACATCTTAATAATTTTAAATCAATTATTGTATAAGTGATTTTTTTATCAATATTGTATCATTCTACTAAACCGTCTGTCATTTAAGGCTAAGGCACACATATGTATCTCACCTCCTACCCCAGGAAAGAGTCTGCCAGTGCCTGCACCACCAATTCCAGTAACACCAGGACCAGCACCTAGTCAAACCGTGAAAACACTTTTTCAAGCCAAAACCATCGGTTTATCAGTTGATAATGTGATAGGGAAGACTGACTTGAAATCAGGATATTAATCAGTGTACTCACCATATTTAGCTGCTTTAGCTTGAGCTGGTGTAAGAGCACCTGTTCCTGCTCAGAGGGAACAGTTTATTTGGTAACACTTCATGTTGATGGTCCATTTTCGACATTGTCAACTAGCAGTCATTAGAGTAGACTGTCTGCTTAATATCGGACAACACTATATTTCGATGCTCCCCCAAACAGACTACCCAGATAGCAAACTGACATTGAATCAACGTGGAAATATGACATCGAAACAACGTTGATCTGACATTGTTTTGCTCATCGAATTAACGTTGAACCAACGTCAGACGCGTCATTCTTTCAAAACTAACGGAAAATCAACTTGAAATCAACGCGTTGTTTCAAAGTTATGAAAGCAAACCAATTTTCGATTTTCATTTAGCTTTGAAGAATGCCGCGTCTGACGTTGGTTCAACATTAATTCGATGAGCAAAATCAACGTTGTTTCAATGTCATGAGAGACGTCGTTTTCACATTGATTCAATGTCAGTTTGCTGTCTGGGTAATCTACTGACTATTAGTAATTTTGCAGCTACATGTCAACTTACTAACCAGACCCCTAACACATAACCTAACAGTCCACTAATACTCTATTGCATGTAGCTGCAAAGTTACTTATAGTTAGTTGTGTCTAAAGTGGACCATCGAAATAAAGCAACTGTTTACTCTGATGTACATAAGTGCCCACTCTGCACAAAGAAATACATGCAAACATGTTAAAGTGGGATTTATAATTTGAAACTACACTGTAAAAAAGTGAACTAAGTGGGTATTTCTACCTGATTCTGTCAACAAATGCTAATTTTGTTTTTATAGCCTTCAATCAGATTGATGCTGTTCTAACTTAATTGAGTTATATTGACCCAACATACAATGTCCATTAAAGCTTAGGATGGACACATTCGACACTTGTTGACACTTAAATGAGAAATTGTGATTTGGAGTTTTAAACATTACTGCATCAAAGTGAAAATCGCAATTGAGAGCACTACTCTTCACCACAATGGTAAACACAACACTCAATAACAGAAACTTGCTCCTTTTTTCTGTTCCACAACTTTACTCATGAGTGAGTGAGTAAATTATTTCCATTTTGGGGTGTTCCATTTCCTTAAAATGGCTGATTGCCGCTCTTAAATCATTCTTAAGCTAGATGATTTCGTACCTCCTGCCCCCGGGTATAGTCCCCCAGCACCGCCTGGCAGACCTCCAACTCCACCTAAACCAGCTCCAATACCTGAGGAAATATATAAACACTGAAGCAGCTGCTTGAGGAAATGACTTCCATTTCTGAACGGACTATTACTTTAATATGAAAATGCAGTTTTGTGGGATTACAAAAGCAAAGGCATCTTCACCTCCTGCCCCTGGGTAAAGTCCACCTGCACCACCCGGGAAAGCTCCAGCTCCAGCTCCACCTAAACCAGCTCCAGCACCTTCAGAAATGAGCAGAGTGAACTTTCCATACTACATTCATTACACAAATAAGCACAAAATCTTAATATCGTCTGTGGATAGAGCTTATGCCATATGGCTATTAGAATAATTGAATGAGTATTACCATATTTAGCAGCTTTGGCCTGTGCAGCAGAGACCCCACCTGCATACAGACACAACAGATCAAACACTGACCATGCATTTCCCATGCCTTGATTTACGTTCCCCAGACAGCAAACTGACATTGAATCAACGTGGAAACGACGTCTCTCATGACATTGCTCATCGAATTAACGTTGAACCAACGTCAGACGCGGCATTCTTCAAAGCTAAATGAAAATCGAAAATTGGTTTGCTTTCATAACGTTGAAACAACGCGTTGATTTCAAGTTGATTTTCCGTTAGTTTTGAAAGAATGACGCGTCTGACGTTGGTTCAACGTTAATTCGATGAGCAAAACAATGTCAGATCAACGTTGTTTCGATGTCATATTTCCACGTTGATTCAATGTCAGTTTGCTATCTGGGTCTGAACGGACTTTTACTTTAATATGAAAATGCAGTTTTGTGGGATTACAAAAGAAAAGGCATCTTCACCTCCTGCCCCTGGGTAAAGTCCACCTGCACCACCCGGGTAAGCTCCAGCTCCAGCTCCACCTAAACCAGCTCCAGCACCTTCAGAAATGAGCAGAGTGAACTTTTCATACATTCATATTACAAAAATATGCACAGAATATGAAACAAATCTTAATATCTTTGCTCTATGGATAGAGCTTAGGCCATGTGGCATTTAAAATAATTGAATAAATGAGTATTACCATATTTAGCAGCTTTGGCCTGTGCAGCGGAGGCCCCTAAAGATCCCACACCTGCAAACAGACACACCAGATCAAACACTGATCGTGCATGCACACATAAATATGAAATTATTTTTTAAATTAAAAAAATTATTTTTTTCGTTGTGTTTTTTACATTTTTGTTATACTGACTGAAACTCCCCAGATAGCAAACTGACATTGAATCAACGTGGAAACATGACATCGAAACAGCGTTGATCTGACATTGTTTTGCTCGTCGAATTAACGTCGAACCAACGTCAGACGCGTCATTCTTTCAAAACTAACGGAAAATCAACTTGAAATAAACGCGTTGTTTCAACGTTATGAAAGCAAACCAATTTTCGATTTTCATTTAGCTTTGAAGAATGCCGCGTCTGACGTTGGTTCAACGTTAATTCGATGAGCAAAATCAACGTTGATTCAATGTCAGTTTGCTGTCTGGGTCTCTTTACATCCTCATAGCAATCAATAATAATAGTCTAAATATTAAAACATGTACATATATCTTCTGTGGAAGTCTCAGGACTAAAAAATGTTCAGCCAATCATTGCATTCGGTCTAAATACGATGTCATCCCTGCCTGCCTTGAGAATCTGCTCTGGATGTGGGCGTTCATGTCTTTTGAAGGAGGCGTGGCTTTGGAGTCTCTCTTTAGGGAGGGTGGGATCTAATGCTTTCAAAGCTAGCTAGCTATTACTAACCTTTCTGAAATTGCCTACCCTACCTTTAAGATAACGAACCCTTTTTTTAAGGCTTTTAAGGTGTTAAATAGTTATTAAACATTAATAATTTTTGGGTAAAAGATATATATAGTTTTTTGTGTGTGTGTGTGGAATATGTTAGATTCACTCTGTAATGTATAACAATGATTCGAATAGTATAGCTCTGACATAACACACCAGTCCCTGTTGGATAACCCGGCTTGGAGCCAGCTCCTGCTTTCCCACCGGGGAGTCCACCACCTCCACCAAAGCCACCGTAACCTTTGGTACACCAGGTGAGAATCAGCACACAAGCTAATACACATCATGCACCAGGTATTTTTTTGGTATGTCCTCAACGTTGGTACTGTATCCTACCGTATGGAAGTTTACCACCAGTGTAGGGCAAACCAGCACCTGTTGGGACAGGCAATGTACTTTCATATGTCTCAAAATATACTACAGATATACCAAAAATGATTTGTGTCATCAAATATGTTGCTGTTTGATGTATCAAAGCTATCCACAACAATAAAGCGTGCTATGAACTAACACATGGCAAGTGTTTAAACAAAAAGTGCATTTTAGCTATAAAACTGCAAAATTGAAGACGATAAAGAAGCATCCAAATGATTTCTGTTGATGTATGAGCTCACTTTTATACAACACATGAAGCGTTAAACCGCTCAACCACACATTTTTTTATCAACGCTGTATCCTGTTTTAATCAGGACAAATATGCAAGTTTGGAAAAAGCTATGCTCCACCAGAGGCTCACATATTAATACCGCAATCAATTTCTCCTAATTTTACTGGATGGATTCCTAATCCTTGATTAAGGCTGATAGCTCACCGATAAGAGAGACGTGAAAATATGCATTTCATTTCAAGCTTTCGACAGAAACATTTACGAAAATATATTTCAGATATGACTATAAAAACTACGCCTATGAACTTTGTCAAGGCATTTTCCCAAGTGAGGAGTCACTTCCCAGAGAGCACGTCAATCTGAGGTTAGTGCGAAACAAATTAATTGAGCTCTTCAACTGTTGAACCAACGGAGAGCAATCTGCGACATAAATGGATGAATAGCAATGCAAGTCCAAGCAGTGATCCAATATAGCTGGGTTTCATCTAGAGCATTTGATGAAAGACATTCTTGCTTATTTCTAGCAACCTCATATTGAAATGCTTCATTGCTGTAAAACCACAAATGCAATCAGTCAGCAAATGCTTATTTTCGAGGGGTGGTAAAGCTGTGCTGAGCTGATTTGTGCAGTCTGATTAAAAGAATCGGAAATTTCACCTGGGGATTTGGGGGATTTCAGGGGGTATCCGTGAAAAACTCCTTGTTGCAGTGGTCCACCATATCCACGTCCACCTTTGATGGACAAAATACACTTCTAGTGTAAACACTTTTTTACAAATCAGATATCATTATTCTATTTATAGTGGTTGCTCATGTACTAACCAGCACCTGGTCCCAGACCCTGCCCAGCACCACCAGCAGCTATGGGAAAGATCCAGTCAGTCATATAGATATCATATAGCTTCTTTTTAGAAGATGTCATTTTCATTTCCAGTTTACCTGATTTGGGCTTGAGTCCATTTCCAGTGGCTACACCGGGAAGAACACCCCGTCCATTGAAGCCTGTAGTCGTGTAAATACAAGTGATCAAACAAACTAAGGCCATGTGTGCAATTTTAATTTGGCGTTTTTTCCAAATAACTTAATAGGTGGCCTGCACGAAATCTGCAACCACAGAAAGCTCCACAGATGTTTGCAGAAATAGTTCGACACATTTGTTTATGAGATGTCTTGGCTAATTTGATAATGGACCAATAAATGCAAGTATGTGACTGCAATGCGTCTAACCGCACAATATGCATTTCATGCGCCATTTCTATGCGAGCATTAGAATAAACTGTCTTCTGTGGTCTGTTTTCTTCTGAAGTCTTAAGTTAAAGGGATAGTTCACTTTGAAATTAATTTTTGATATGTTTTATCTTACCTCAAGGGCATCCAAGATGTAGGTGTCTTTGTTTCCACAGTATTTTCAATTTTGACATTTTTCAGTCAAACCGTTGTTGTCTATCAGTCATATAGTGGAGGCTAAGGGGGTCCACCTCAAAGAGCATGCACAGAGAAGTCCAAATTAAACTACTCGTAAACTAGACTCGTAAATGTAAGTACACATTGATGGCCTAAGACACGAAACGAGCGGTTTGTGTGAGAAAACAAACAGTATTTATATCATTTTACCTCTTGTAATCACAGCCATGACAAAATGATCTGACGGCATGGGCGCTTCGGTCTGGAAGTGATCGCTTGCGCGCCGACGTCACTCTTTGTTTATACAGAGATTTCGGAAGTTTTACCTTTCACTAAACATATTTAGATATACGGGAAACCGCAATGGAAGACGATTTCGGTATATCTAAATATGTTTAGTAAAAGGTAAAACTTCCGAAATCTCCGCGTAAATATTGAGTGACGTCACACGCAAGCGATCACTTCTGGCGTAACATTGAACTGATTCAGTTCGGTTCAGTTGGATATTGTACAACTGATTCAGATCACTGTGATTACACGAGGTAAAAACGATATAAATACTGTTTGTTTTCTCACACAAACCGCTCGTTTCGTGTCTTAGGCCATCAATGTGTACTTACATTTACGAGTCATTAAATCATGTTTAATTTGGACTTCTCTGTGCATGCTTTTTGGTGGACCCCCTTAGCCTCCAGTGTATTACTGATAGACAACACCGGTTTGACTGAAAAATGTCAAAATTGAAAATACTGTGGAAACAAAGACACTACATCTTGGATGCCCTTGAGGTAAGATAAAACATCAAAAATTAATTTCAAAGTGAACTATCCCTTTAATGCAACCGTATTTGGCTAGCTACCTGAAAAATCCATTACACGCTTTAAAGGTAACTATATCGCCCTTTTGAGTGTACCAAGAATTTGTAGGTTTCTGGCCTAGAAGTATAGTTTCTGCAGCTCTGTTGAACACATTTTGCCATGTGTAGATCCAATTCACAGAACTCGGCATATGTTCCCCACAATCAGCACAGAAAATGTCAAAAACGTTTGCAGATTCCTTTTGGGCCTGGTGGTCAAATTACAGCACATTAACAGAGGAAAAGAACAAACCTTGTCCAGGAACAAGTCCTCCTTGATACGGACCAGGCACTCCCACTCCTGCAAAAATCAAGATTGAAAAGCTGATCTATAATTGTGCATATTAACATAGGCCGGTCTATATAAATGTCCCACGCTTACCCGGCACTGGAGCTTTTCCAGGTTTTGCTGCTTTCCCTCCAGGTCCAACCCCACCAGGGCCCAGTCCTTGTACACCAGTCTGAGGAATGCCAAAGCCTAACACACAATACAAAGACAACACCATCGTAGACTGGACTATCACTGCCAGCTATAATCACTACGATGCCAGTAATAGCTAAAGAATATACATTCACTGCACCTGGGAGACCAGTACCAGTTCCTCCTACACCTGGCCCTGAACAAACATAAACACACACACATTTAGTTACATCATTATACACATCGAGTGCAAAGCTAGACTGCAGATATTGATTCCTCAGTGATTTAATTTGCCTCACATGCTCCGGAAAAAAGTCATCTTATCTGATTTCAGTGCCTGGAAGCTGATGTTTCAGGCTGTTCATTTATTTGTTTAACCCTTTTCCAACCGATATCAAACACAGAGGAACAGACATTGCATGCTGCTTTTAGATTGTGCCAAGGACAAGCTGAAGTAATGTGCTGGCCTTCGTTACACGAACACCACCAGCGGGGTCCCAGAGGGGACACGTTTGTTGATTTGGCTCATGATCTAAGTCTCCTTCATTCAAGTTCGAGCCAACTGGAGTACCATGAAAAGAGTCTTAGCCGTGTTATATGTAGTTATATGTAAGATGTGTTAAAAAGGGACCTGTGTGTTTGCACTGTATGAATGGTTCTTCTGAGAATGAGGCCAGTTCTCCACCTACTTTTTCCATTTTAGTTCTACTCTAAAGATGATTGCCTAAAAGAAGTTTACAATGTATTTGTACAATGAAAACGATGGAAACTCAAAGACAAGACATATATTACCGCCTTTAGGGGGCTTTACTCCAGCACCTGAAACAAGAAAATCAGACTTAGAAGAGAGCTATGCAGTTTGTGTTACTTAGCCACTAAGAAAATCGAATTAATCAATAGACTTGTTGAATGAATAGCACCTCCAGGTAGACCTCCTCCAGGCAGACCTCCAGGTAAACCACCTCCTGGAAGACCACCCGGTAGCCCAGTGCCTAAAGAGAAAGCCTAATGGTTATATGTAATTACTTGACTGCACATGTGTTGACTGGATATTCAATGGAAGATCACCTGATTTAGCTGGTTTCAGACCTCCAGCCATTGGGTAGAACCTTCCAGCACCACCATATGCACCATAAGCCCCATAACCACCTACAGTAGGAAGGACATGTGGCAACAAATTCAGAAAACTCACATGCAAGGCATGGACATTTATAGTCAATTAGTTTGTAGTGTAAGTAAAAATAAATAATAATAAGTCAATAAATAAATCAAGTTTAACTTTAAGTCTGGCAGGTCATATTAGTCAAGTTTGCATCAGCTGATCCACATCAGCCTATAGGAATACGACACCTACCACAACATCCCAATTTAAGGTCTATTCAGTATAATAAGCAAATGATCCTCCTCCAAGTTTAATACATCAACTAACCCTTATTATTTCTCAACTACAATTCAACTAACTCTATAGACTGTTACCCAGACAGCAAACTGACATTGAATCAACGTGGAAACGACGTCTCTCATGACATTGAAACAACGTTGATTTTGCTCATCGAATTAACGTTGAACCAACGTCAGACGCGGCATTCTTCAAAGCTAAATGAAATCGAAAATTGGTTTGCTTTCATAACGTTGAAACAACGCGTTGATTTCAAGTTGATTTTCCGTTAGTTTTGAAAGAATGACGCGTCTGACGTTGGTTCAACGTTAATTCGATGAGCAAAACAATGTCAGATCAACGTTGTTTCGATGTCATATTTCCACGTTGATTCAATGTCAGTTTGCTATCTGGGTAGGTTAGTGTTAAGTTGACATGTACTTGCAAAGTCACTTATAGTCAGTAGAATGTCTGTTTGGGAGCATCACAATAAAGTGTTAGCAGATATTATGACAGTCTACTAATTCTCCAATGACTGCATGTAGTTAATGTCAACGACATATTAGCTACTTGTAGATAGTACAATGTCTTAAATTGACAATCAAAATTAAGTGTAACTGAAGTAATATCTAATAATAATTATGATGATCTGCCCCAAACCCCAAATAACCTGGGCAATCGGATGATTTGGTAACTGGGAGGGGCTGGATGGGAAAGAATGAAGAGAGAGAGAGAGAGAATACCTGAAAAGAAAGTTGAGATGGAAAGTGAGGTCTCAGAGGCTACAGTGGATCTTTTGGCTAAGTAAATGAGGAGTTAGGCTTTATTGAAAATTATTGCTTCATTGTCCTCCTTTAACACAGAAACCCTAAACAAATGAGGTCACAAAGTTTGCATTCTCATATTATGGTAGAGGGAGGAATGCAGGAATGGAAAGGATGTGCAACAAAATGCTTTGCTTTTTGCCATTATAAATCTGAGAGTAGGTTTAAAATGCCCCTAAATCCTGGTATTCCAACTTCTGACTCAGGAGAAGAAAAAATAAGATGAAATTTATCACAGCACTGATGGAAAACAGAGGTCACAAACTTTTTGCTCTCCAAGCACAGTTAATTCATTTGCTGAGGTTCATGGACAACAGGCCACATCTCTCCACAGAACATTGCCACAGTTGTAAAGAGCTGGAGATGTAACTGTATTTTGGCTTGTTATAGACTGTTAAACTGCTTGTCTACATTTGGCTCTAACCTTTTGCAATTCTTTTGGATCAGTTAAAATGTCAAGCATCCACAGTCTGTTCACAGATGGTTACAAAAAATGCCAAGAAGTTACTGAATCCACTCGGTTCCAATGTGTTTTACTGAATCTCTGCATTTTTAGTTTACTGTGCATCATTTTACTACACAAAATTATCAATACTGGCAGCTTTACATTTCCAGTAACTGTGGCTTGGTTAGTGGCAGACCTACCTGAGTTATTAATGTCTTTATCTTGTTGCAGATCTGACTTTCTGTTTTTGGACACCCTGAAGACATCCTGAAGATGCCAATGCTCCAAACCATCATACTGCTCCAACTGTGCTTCACAGTCGGGATGGGTAAGTGCAGAATTCCAATCTATCTACTTATTGGTTCACAAAACATTCTTGTTCATCTACACAGTTTCAAGTTGGTAGAAATGTTGTTCTTGGAGAGCTGTGGCTTCCTCTGTGCTGTAAACTTTACACCAATAAACTTTAGCAGATGCAAGAAATGTCACGGAATGTAAGACGTGGATTCAATTGCAAAAATTTATTAAAGATGACCCACAGAACCGGAACAACCTCCAAGGCTCGGGAAACAAGCGGGAACATACAAATCACATGAACATGTACAACGAATCGGCACAAGACAGCAAACACAAGGAGATTAAATAGGCTACCAAACAAAAGAGGTAACAAGGCAAGCAGGTGGGGGAAATAAACCAATAACGAGATAACAAGATGGACGGGGTTGACAATTAGACAAGAGAGCACATGGCACAAGAAACAACAACACACTCATGTGCTTACACAGGACCAGACTAGATAAACATATGACAAACTGGGCGTGCCACCTGGCATTCCCAAGCAAGGACAGCAAAAACCAGACAAAAACACACAATGAGCAAGACCACAAAAACAAAACAAACAAATCAAGACCCCAATACAGAACAATCAAATAAACTGAAAACAGATAATCCAAAAAACAAGTCTTGACCAGGGAAGGATGGGAGGGTTAATCCAGGACCCTCAGGCTTCTCAGAATCCTGACAAGGACCAGAGTGGACCAGGCTGTGTAAGGTGGCCAAGACGGAACAAGCAGACCATTGGGCGACCAAGATGAGGCTGACAGTCCATCGGGCGGCCAGGATGAGGCAGATAGTCCATCAGGCAACCAAGACGAGGAACAGCAACAGCAGACACCGGGTCCAGAACAGCAACAGCAGACACCGGCTCCGGCTCAGGAACTGCAACAGCAGACACCGACTCAGGAACTGTAACAGCAGACACCCGCTCAGGAACTGCAACAGCAGACACCGGCTCAGTAACTGTAACAGCAGACACCGGCACAGGAACTGCAACAGCAGACACCGGCTCAGTAACTGTAACAGCAGACACCGGCACAGGAACTGCAACAGCAGACACCGGCTCAGGCACAGGAACTGCAACAGCAGACACCGGCTCAGGAACTGCAACAGCAGACACCGGCTCAGGAACTGCAACAGCAGACACCGGCTCAGGAACTGCAACAGCAGACACCGGCTCAGGAACTGCAACAGCAGAGACCGACTTAGGAACTGCAACAGCAGACACCGGCTCAGGAACTGCAACAGCAGACACCGGCTCAGGAACTGTAACAGCAGACACCGGCTCAGGAACTGCAACAGCAGACACCGGCTCCGGCTCAGGAACTGCAACAGCAGACACCGGCTCCGGCTCAGGAACTGCAACAGCAGACACCGGATCAGGAACTGCAACAGCAGACACCGGCTCAGGAACTGCAACAGCAGACACCGGCTCCGGCTCAGGAACTGCAACAGCAGACACCGGCTCCGGCTCAGGAACTGCAACAGCAGACACCGGATCAGGAACTGCAACAGCAGACACCGGCTCAGGAACTGCAACAGCAGACACCGGCTCAGGAACTGCAACAGCAGACACCGGCTCCGGCTCAGGAACTGCAACAGCAGACACCGGCTCCGGCTCAGGAACTGCAACAGCAGACACCGGCTCCGGCTCAGGAACTGCAACAGCAGACACCGGATCAGGAACTGCAACAGCAGACACCGGATCAGGAACTGCAACAGCAGACACCGGCTCAGGAACTGCAACAGCAGACACCGGCTCCGGCTCAGGAACTGCAACAGCAGACACCGGCTCCGGCTCAGGAACTGCAACAGCAGACACCGGATCAGGAACTGTAACAGCAGACACCGGGTCAGGAACTGCAATAGTAGACTACGGCTCAGGAACTGTAACAGCAGACACCGGCTCCAGCTCAGGAACTGCAACAGCAGACACCGGGTCAGGAACTGCAATAGTAGACTACGGCTCAGGAACTGTAACAGCAGACACCGGCCCTGGAACAGACACTGGCTCCGGCCCCGGAATGGACACTGTCTCTGGCCCTGGAACAATGGACACGAAAGGGGACACGAAAGGTCTGAAGGGTATCTCTAGAATCTGGACTAGATGTTCAAAATAGTTGGTCAGTGCCCTAGCGGCCACGAAAATGGGCATCTCCTGATCAACCGAGACGGAGTGGATGACAGGCTCAGTCACTTGATCGTCCACTGCTCTCCCACCAGGTGACTCAGTAAGCTGTTCGACCGAGCTGGTGTGGAGTTTAGGCTCGGCAGGGGTGACGAGGATATCAGGCTCAGCAAATCGGTGGCAGGCATGGTGTGAACCGTCTCTGACGGAGCCGACGTGACCTGAACTGTCTCTGAATGGGCAGACACGACTTGAACCGTTTCTGGCTGGGTGGTCAACTTCGACAATAGGCTGAACCGGCTCATTTGGTTATTTTTCAGTCAGACGTGCTACTTCGACTTGTGCGTATTGCGGTATCAAACCGGAACTAAAATTCGATTCAGTTTGATTAATAAACTGGCTCAACCGGTTACTTCCTATGAACCAGCTCAAAAGAAAGATTCCTTCAAGAATCGAACCTTGCTACTCAAGAATGCAGAAAACTATTAAAGGTTCACACATTTTCTTTTACAACTATACTTCGATGTCTAAAATGTCTACACTCATTTCTTCCATTAGTTGCAGAATGGAATCAATGAACAATCAACTGAAAAACTCACAAGTATTTGAATGAATGCTTTCCCAGACAGTCTAATATTGTGGTGTCCATTATTTCCCACACAGGCTCATTGGAGAAATTTGCTTCTACCTACAATTTTGCAGAACTCGAAAGTGTACCTATACATGGGTCCTCATATTCATAATTCATATTCTTTCCGACAGCAAAGTATTTGCATGTGACACACTTTATTAATTGTAATTATGTAAATAATAAGTAAAATACCCAATAGCACCGTAATTTCATTTTGCAGAAATGACACCAAATGCATGAAAAAATATCACTATTTTGCTGGACATAAATAAGTGGACAGTTCTAGGCCAGAATAAGCTGTAAAATTGGCCAAAAGCTAGGCCATGTGACACTACAGTAAATCCTACTAGCAAATCAAAACTCAGAGATGATAAAATGTGGAATGCTCTTGGACTTGACTGTGGCTA